AGCCTTGGGGAGCCAGAGCCAACGCAGCAAAGTTAATGACCTGGAACCTTCCCTGATGTTCTGGGAGTTGGGGAGCCCCTGCTTCAACCATGCGAAACAGCCACCCTGGAGACTGTGGGAAGTCCAAGTTCGTTAAGGGAAAACAAGCTAAGAAGAGAGATCTGTCTGCCACTGCGGTGCAGCTCGCCTCTGAGGAGCCCAGACGGGGCCCAGCTAGGGCCCGAGGTCCGTCTCGGCCAGAACGCCTGCCAAACCCCGACTTCCTTATGGGGGTGCAGCAAGGAATTCACACCCTGGACGTCGGGAGGAAACCCTGCCACCACCACAGGCCAGGGCTGAGAACAGGCCAGAGGAGATGCCGCCGGTCCCAGTGGCAGGGACATGACGGGCCCAGTGGCCACAGCCCTGAACGCAGTGGGCGTCGACTTGGAAGGCGGGAGGAGGCAGCCCAGGTCCACTCAGTCCCAGTCCCGGGCAGACGTTTCCCAGGGAGGGGGGTGGCCTCGTGCAGCCTGGTGACCTCGGCTTCCGTCTCCTGGCAAACGCCTGCTCCCCTCCTGGCCTCGGCAGAGCGACCCTCAAGCTCCGCTGAGAGTCCTCCCCGGAGGGAAGGAGGTGACCTGGGGCCCGCCCTGGGAGTCCTCCCATGAGTGGGGAGAGGAAGGGAGAAGAGGGAAGGGCCGGCTCAGCACCGGCGCAGAGAGAGTCAGGCCCAGCAAGTCCTAGTCGGCGTGCTCACGACCTTCCCGATTCCCGGCCGGGTCTGGGGCCGAGACCTCGTGCCTCTCCGGATCACATCGGCCGGCGTCAGAGGGGCTGTCCCCTCCCCCAGGCTGGTGTCCTGTTATCGCTGGCTGTCCCCTGTCATTTTGTTCTGACACCTGGTTTAAACACCTGTAGGGCACCGACGCGCCTGTCTCGTGGTAATGAAGCACTCCAGGGGGAGATGGTCATTTCTGGGGTACTTCCCAGGGTGGGGAACATTGCCGGGGGGGGGGGGGGCTGGAGGCTCCGGGCGGGGGGGACCAGCATAGGCCTCACACTTGGCTGCTTTGCCCAGAGATGAAGCTGTAGGATTTCTTAAGGCCCCGAGTGCCCCTCCCTGGTGTCTTTATTGCTGAGAGTGTGACCCAGCCTGGAGTTTACGAACGTAAGATTCCTAATACGCTTCCCTCCTCCCCAAATGCTCCTCGAATAGGTTTCAACCGCCTCGGAGGGGCAGCCACCTGACCCTCGTGCTCCAAGAGAGGCAGGGCCACCCAGGAAGTGCACAGGAGCTGGGCGTGGGCTCCAAAGCCCTGCTGAGGAAGAGGAGGGAGGAGGGGGAGGAAGAACCCCACACACACCCTCACACGCCCCGTGGAACCGCTCACTGAGAGCAGGGACATCCGGATCAGGGAGCGGAGGGGCCCCCATTAGCACCCCCTGAATGGGCCCTGGGGTCTTAATCAGAGGTCAGTTCCTTCAACTTTCCCATGTGGCCAAGGCGGGGACAGGGTGGACCCGGCGACACTTCACTCCCAGTGAAGTCAGGGTGCTGCTCCATGCTCCACAGACTCCGCTCTCAGAGAGCTTCGGGGGGCTCCGGGGTGTACACCCCACCTGACTCCCCCAGCAGTGTGGGGGTTGCTGTGCGTGAGAAGCCTATCACCCCAGGGTGGGATGTGGGTGGAGGCGGTTTGGGGCTCCTTGGGGGCTCCCGCCCAGCTTGCCGTTAGGTGGACCCCAAATAGTCCCGCAGAGCAGCCTTCACGGAGCGCACTTTGACCTGGTCACGGCGGAATGCAGCAGGGCCTGGGGGCAGCGAGCTGCGGCCTCCACGCACTCCCAGGGGGCCAGCGCCGGGGGCAGCACCCGGGCCGTCCGACAGTCAGCCCACCCCGTCCAGGGTGATTTCTGGACAGGCCCCGACCTCAGATGCCTCCCCATCCCAGCCCAGGTTAGTGGGGTCGTCTCTGCCCAGAACGTCCACCCGACCCTGCCAGCCCGCCCCTCACCCCGGCAACAGCCTAGCAATGACCCCGTGCCCCTGCACGTGGCCCCCTGGTGCCGAAACAAAATTAAACCCGTCTGATGGCAGCATACTTATTTGCTACCCGGGCAATTACTTCCTTCCCCCGGCCCCGCTGCCCAGGGGGCCGGTGGGCCTTCCGGAAACCGGAGCCAGGACCAGGACGCAGCTACGATGGTCAGGGCCCTGACGTGGGGGTCCACTCCTCCCGAGCCCGAGGAAGGCAGGTTGACTGCTCCTCGAGGCCGCAGCAGGTGGCAGGGTGGCGGCGTCTGGGCAGATGCCGAGGGCCGGTCTCCAGCACCGGGCCGTGCAGCCGTCTGAGCCCGTGCTGAGTATCTGCAGGCCTGGGTGCAAGCGGGGATAAAGTGGGGGTGTGTGGGGCCCCAAATACCACCCCTGGGTCCCAGCCGGGGAGCAGCAGGTGGTGGGCAAGGAGGGGCATCCTGGGAGCAGCCAGACTCTGCAGGTAGCAGTTCTGTGTGGTGCGTTGGGAACACGGGACGTGGGTTGCAGGGTCCCCAGGCTTGGCAGTGACCCGAGGTCCTCGGGTGGGGGACCTGGGTGGGGCTTCTCCTACGCCTGCCCCCACACCCACACACGACAATTATCTCACGGCCACAAACACCCCTGAGCGCCTACTGTGCGCATGGCTGAGGGTCGCCAGGAGAGCAGACACAGTCCCACCCGGAGTGGGCTAGTCCCGGCCAGGCTCCACGGGGGCAGGGACAGGAGTGCAGAGCAGGCACGCCTGCCCTGACACACACACACACTCACACACACACTCACACACACAGTCAGCCACAGGAAAAGAGAGCTGGGCTCCGCTCGGGAGGCAGGTGGGGGCTTCCTGCCCGCAAGAGCCGCCCCGGCTCCTTCCCCCATCTGGGGGCAGGCAGCCCGCTCCCTCCACCATCGGCCCTGCCAGGGAGCCTCCCCTCGGCACCAGGAGGGGCCGGGCCGGGAGCAGGAACCAACGCGGGCCCCTGCGCCAGGCGGCCCCAAATGCCCGCCGGATGTCAGCTGCAGGCCCGGGTGTCAGGGCCCAGTGCCGCCGCCGCGCACACAGGCCATAAATACCGCCTAAGTGGGCCTGTCACCTGGCTGCGGCCGCGTTTCCATTCCGCCGCCGCCGAAGGTGATTGATGAGAATTATCATTAACACTAATCAGAGCCGTTTGGAGGCGGCCGGTGGCAGGAAGTGCCCTTTGTGGGCTGCAGGGACCCCTTGGAAGGGTGTTGGATACACAGGCACGCACACGCACACAGGCACTCGTGCACTGGAACATGCATGCACACGCACCCACATGCATGCATACATGGAACAGGCCCCGGGGCCGGGAGGCCGGGGCGTCTGGGCAGATGGGGAGGAGCCAGTGCTCAGCAACGTACGCGCCGCCACGTCAAGGGCAGGCTCCCGGGGGGCCGCTCGCCGCCCCGCGTGCCGACAGCCCGAGAACACAGGCCCCGCACAGCCCAGCCCGGCTGGGATGAATTCTCTCCGGCCGCCACCAGTGGCTCTCATGACTTAATGTGCTTGGCAGCTGCTGGCAGCCTGGACAGGCTTGGCCAAAATTAGAACTGGGGCCGGGAGGAGGTGCCGCGACGAAGCCCCGACTCGGGGTGTGCGCAGGGTGGGCACCCTCCGTGGCTCCGTCTCCTCCTCCCCCAGCACCCGGCCGTGACCACCGGGCCTGGCCCTGGGCTGCCCCGTCCCAGCCCATTGCGCCGGCGATGCCACCCTCCCATCCGGCCCTGAGGAGGCGGCGACCGGGCAGTGCGACGGGCTTCCCCGCCCTCTGCGTCCTCGCTCGGGGGGCCCAGTGTGGCGTAAAGATACAAAGTGTCCTTTTATTGGGAATATCAATTCAGAAAGGGGCTAGTAGTAAGCTGAGAATATTTGGATAAACTCGACAGCCCTTAGGACTGAAAAAGACCTTTTGTTTCCTCCGAGGAGGGGCTGTCGCGGGGCCCTGGGCACCCTGGAGCCGGTCCAGAGAAAACCGGGGTCGGGGCAGGAAAGTGGTCCAGGCGTCTCGGGAAGGGTCTTTCCTCTAGGTCAAATGCTCATTACTATTTATTTTATTTTTTTTTATTAGAGAGTGTGGTTAACATCCTATTGCACAGTATCAGGCTGTGCTGGGGGCCCGCACTCTGAGCCCGGCCCCCGTCCCCCAGCGCACAAAGGGGACTCTGTGGCGTTTGGAGGGGAGAGGGGCCGCGTGGTGTGGCGCCACGGTGTCAAGACATCGACCCTTTAAGGACGGAGTACCTTCTCTGGAAGAGCTGGGTGCCCCCCCTGCCCGGTAACCCCAGCCCAGTGAGCATTCCTGGACTTCAAGGGATCACTGAGGCCAACTTGTCTGCCCAGAGCAGCCCAAACCTGGCCCTGTGGGGGCTGGACCAGCACCTGCAGGGCAGTCACCCCTGGGACCGCTCTGGCCCAGCGTCTCTGGCGCATGGACCGCAGCTTAGGGGCCGCCCCGGAGACCAGGCCGCGGTCTGGACGGAGTCAGGGAGGTCTTGTCTCTGCAGCCTGGGGACCCAGGCGTCATGGGCAAGGGTTCCTCCTTCCACTTCCAGTGACGGGGGCAGTGCCTCACGCGCAGGAGTCGTTTGGGAGGGTCCGCCCAGCAGTGCAGAAGGCCAGGTGCAAGGCCTTCACTCAGCTGAGTTTCGGCTGCCTGCCCCCCGCAAGCTCCAGGCTCCAACAGCCCGGCGACCTTTGGGGAGACACTGGGGCGCCCAGGGCCTGCCTGCCGCAGCTGCCCCCAAGGGTCTGGCATCCGGAAGCACCTGAGCAGCCCCGGGTCCTGAATTTCATGATGTGTCTCAACATTTCAGCCCCCCTGAGAGGGTAGTTTCCTCTCAGATTCCCACGAAAAGGCGGCCCTCGTGGGGCTGCCAGGCGAGACAAATCTCGAGTCTTGTTCGAGTCCTTTCCCACCAAACACAGGAAAAAAGACAGAGCCGGAATGGTTTTTTTTTAAGCTTTTACTTATTTACATTTAGAGAGAGGGGGAGGGAGGGAGAAGGCGAGGCAGAGAAACGTCTACGTATCAGTCGCCTCTCGTAGGTGCCCTGACCAGGGACCAGACACACAACACAGGCAGGTGCCTTGACCGGGAATCGAACCCGTGACCTTCCGGTTTGTGAAATGATTCCCAGCCCCCTGAGTCATGCTGGTCCGGGCAGTGCTGGACATAGTTTAATTCAATGATATCCCTTCCCCCAAACAAGTCGAATCGCCTCCTCTGAGGGAATGGGTCCCCAGAACGTCCCAGGATGCAAATTCTGTGTGACTCCGGTCATTTCCCCGCCCACCTCTGGGGCTGGCGATTCTCTCTTCTTCGGTTGTTGCACGAGGGCCCCATGGGGCTCATGGGCCCAGAGGCCCTGGGCAGAGTCACGCTCGTGCCGTGACCAGGTGGCGATGGCGGCCCCCGGGCCAGGCAAGCAGTCGCTGAGGGGCAGGTCGCCACGGCCTCCCCTCCCGCCCCGCCCTCCCCGCGGCCCAGCAGGCTGGGGGCCTGGGCCACGCGCAGTGCCCCTTTCTCAGCGTCGGCCGGTGTCCAAGGGAGCATTGCCTGGGACCCCGAGCAGGGGCTTCCAACGTGGCCCTGCCGCCATCGGCCTTGGGGCCCTGGAAACTCTGAGGAGGCGCATCGGGTGCATCTGAGCCCCCACGGGGGGCGGAGTGGGGCGGCTGCCAGCCGGGTCCCGAGAATCCCACCATTGACACGTATTTGCCCAAGGACAGATGCAGAGACGCTGAGAAACACCACTTGCTGCGGCCCGGGGCCCCTCAGCGGGGGTTCACCTTCACAGGCGCCTCAGTGGCCACCTTGTCCTCGAAAGACGCCAGCCCGCGCAGGCCCGCACCGCCACCGCACCCGGTCTTGCCGGCGGCTCCGACGGGCACGTGACACCGTGGGGACACGCCATTCTCAGGGTCACTGCCCTCACTGTGGGATGTGGACGGGGGCGGGAGCCCTGGAGTGTTCCGACCACGTGGCGTCTGCCGGCTCGTGAGCTGTGGCGCCGTGGACTGAGCAGGACCACCGGGTCAGGACCACCAGGTCAGGACGCGAGGGCACTTACTTCAGATGCTTCTATTCTCTTCCGTGTTTCGTCAGGTTTACAAAAATCACAGTATCGAACTGAAAGAAGAAAACGCCGTCTTCAAAGCAAGGAAGGCCCCTGGGGAAGAACCAAAGCGATCATTTTCTACTTAAAAACGATGTTAAATGAGGCGTCATTTGGAAGGAAGACTCAGTGGAAATGATTCGAGATGAAAGGCCAGTTTGTTCGGAGAGTGGGAGGGAAGGGCGTGGAGTGGGGACATGACCCGTCGACGGACCTGTGGGGAAATCCTCCACGGAGACCAAGAACCTTCCAGAAAAGAGCCCAGGCCCCCACAGGCGAAGGAGCTGGGTGCCCCCTGGCAACCCCAGCCCGGTGAGCATTCCTGGACTTCTCGGGATCGCTGAGGCCGACTTGTCTGCCCAGAGTAGCCCAAACCTGGCCCTGTGGGGGCTGGACCGGCACCTGCAGGGCAGTCACCCCTGGGACCGCTCTGGCCCAGCGTCTCTGGCGCATGGACCGCAGCTCAGGGGCCGCCCCGGAGACCAGGCCTTGGTCTGGACAGAGTTGGGGAGGTCTCGGCTACTGGAGGAGCACCATGGCCACACCCCAGGGCGGCCATTAGCAGCTAGGATGACATGGAAGGGGACTCCGGCATCCACAGCCGCTGTCACCGTCAGTGGGCAGCCCCCTGCCACTCCCTGGGGATGGAAGGACCGAGTTTGCACAGCCCTTCTGGAGACAGTCGCCGGGGTCGAGTCCCAACCCAGGACAGCGGGCTGTTGAGCCACCCTAAGCCGCTCTATGCCCCAAAACTACGCAGCCGGGTGCTCCCTTTCCTGGGCTTGTACTCCCACCCCAACAGCACCGTAGCAACCGAGCAGCCGGAGTGAATCAGACACAGCCCTCTCCGGAAAGCCCTGTTTTGCCGGCCGTCTGCCTTTGGGTAACAGGGGTACAACTCACCCACAAAGAGAGGTCATGCTGACGCCACTCCAAGGCTCTCACGCCCACGCGCACAGCGCTCTGTGCCACCGTGGGGCAGGCACGGGGCTGGTGGGGGCCCCTCCGGAGACATTTGTCTCCTATAAGCACTTGCCATTAGATCATAATAAAATGTTGCGGCTCTCTTTCCTGAGCTGGAATGGACGTTTGAACTTGGCTGGCAGGGCCTTGCAAGGGGTCCAGGTAGTACCGTGGAGGGGGACACACCTTTAACTCCTTTAATTCACTTCGTCAGACTGGCTGGAACTCGCAGAAGGACAGGGACCTGCTGAACTTGATGGGCTCCATGCGTCATTCCAGTCTGACCTCAGCCGCGGGATCATCCCCCAACTGGCTGGTCTCACCCGGTGCACCCGCAGCTTCCAGAGGAAGCGGACGAGGGTCCCCAGGGAGACGGCAGGTCCACCCGGAGACAGACAGCCCGGGAGAACTGGGGAATCCGGAGGGAACAGCAGGGTTCAGACTCCCGGCACCGCCATGCCCAGGAGCTTAGTTGCTCCTCGTCCGATGCGCTCGGAGGGCTGGACAGAAAGGTGGCCCGTGAGGTCACAGCTACAGGGCCTGGGGCCCGTCTCCCTCCACTGGACGGTGGTCGAGCCCTGCACCCCCTGCAGAAAACAGCACGCCTGGGTGGCAGCGCCACGACGGCCGAGTGTTCAGAGGAAGAGCAGCGCTGCTCTGGGTAAAGACGAAACGCAGGTTCGGCCAGGCCGGCAGCCCCGTGTGCGGGGGCCTGGGCCCACTGCCGGCCGACTGGGGGCCAGCTGCCCGCGAGAGCGTCCACAGGCAGCCCGGCCGGCACACAGAGCCCTCTGCCCACGGCCACGTCTGCGTGTTGGAGCCCCCTGAGTGTGCGAGGTGGGGATTGACAAGGCATTTACTTAGATTTTGCCTGTTGAGATCTGCGCTGTTTGTGGGAGCTGATCTCGAAGCTCGAGGCCATTACGGAGGCCATGAGTCACGGAGCTCCTCCCCGCCACGCATCCCCCGGGAAGGACGGAGGGATGGGCTCGGGCAGACTGAGTCATCAGCAGGGAAGGCACTAAATATAACCTGGCTGGTTCCCTCCGGGCTGCACACCAGACCTACCCTGTTCACCTACTGCCTGCCAGGTCCCACAGGGTGCGGAGGTGGGCAAGCCAGTGGGGCCTCTGCCCCACCAACCCCAGGGAACATCCCACTGTGACCCTGTGACACTGGACCTAGGGAAAGTCACAGCCCTGATTTCCAGCGAAGCAGATGACGGGGAGGGTTTGCACGTCCTGCAGCCGGACCCAGAGAACTGAGAAGGGGAGGGGCCCAGAAGGCAGTGTGGAGAGACCACTGGGCCAAGGCCAGTCTCAGCAGCCTGGAAGCGCCTCACCTGTTTGTCCCCTGAGCCTTGGTGGCCACCGCTCTGCCTGCCTCTGGGGACCAGCTGGACGAAATGCACTGTGATTGTCCTGTGATGGAGCAGAGGCTGTGAGAGCGTCTCCGGTGTGTGGAGTCAGGGAAGGCTTCCTGGGAGAGGCGCGCATGTGTTCTTCCACCCTTACAGCTCTTGGCAGATGTTGCCTTATATCTGACCTTGGGAAGGGGAGGAAGCCGAAGTTGTCTGGGGAGGTTGGGGTCTCTCTGCCTCATCTGTCATCTCATTCAACAGTCCATTTATCTACCCACCCACCCACCATCCACCCATCTACCCATCCACCCACTATCCACCATCCACCATCCATCCACCCACCCACCCACCCACCCACCCATCCATCATCCATCCACCCATCCATGGAGACGTTCAGGGCACCCCGACTGCACTGTACTCCTCAGCAAGACCCTGTGGAACTTCAGTCTCCCTTGGCTGCCAGGGTCAAATAGAGAAGCTATAAGAAAGGCAAGACCAGCCGGTGTGCTTAGGGCTAGTCTCCAGAGAACTTGAAAGGGGTCAGACCGGCACCCAGTACCCAGCCGCTCTGCCCGTTCTTGCAACATTGGAAGTTACCTAACGCCTCTGTGCCTCAGTTTCCTCATCTACAAATGGGACTGTGCCCGTAGCTGCCCGTCAGGGAGACGTGAGCTTCCAGGGACTCAGTGAGGAGGCTCGGCAGTGACCGGTGTCTGGAGCTACAGCCTGCAGGGTGGGTGGTGGCGGGGGGGGGGTGCGGGGAGGAAGCGGTGCAGGGACCTGGGCCTCTCTCGGCTCAAACGCATCTGGTTCCCTGGGAGGCATGTGTGGAAGTCTCTCCCAGGATGTCTGCATACTGTCCAGTGACGGGGACATTGGAGGGGGTCTGAGGGGGGCATGGCCCTGGCCTCAGAGCAGCTCCCCCAGGGCCACGGGCCGGAAGGTGCACAGGCCCCAGCCCAGGGGGACGGAGCTGCGGGGGGAGGCCCCAGGTCCTCGGGGGGCATCTCGACCTGGCATTCTGCTGCCATGACTGCGCTTCTGTCCAGCAAAGAGAAAGTTGCGCAGCTGGGGTTGGAGGCCCCCCCAGCCCCACCCCCCAGCAGCAGCCAAGCCCTGGTGGAAACTCTGCTGCACCTGGTGGGGGACAGTGCCTGCCGGCAAGCTCTGCAGTTTGTCACCACCTCTGTGGCCAGGGAAAGGTCACGAGTGTGACACCTCTCAGGGCCTCGCATCACTAGGCAGAGCCGCTTCCTGTGGGCAGACCGGGGCTCCCGCCTCCGCCTGGGCAGAGACGCCACCGCGGCCCTTTGGTTGGGGCGGTTTGGGCTTATTCTCCCGATCGTTTTCACGAGGTACAGAAAGAGAAAGCGCGAGCACCTCACTTCAGAACGTCGCCGCTCAGCCTGCTGCCTGCAGCCGCGGGCTCCGAGCTCCTGCGCCCGACGCAGCTCCAGATCAAACGGGGTCTGAGCCGAATTTGGGCTGCGAGCGTTTTAACCACATCGGCCCAGGAGTGGGGCAGCTTGGGGCTGATGGGGGCAGGAGGTGGGAGGGTGAGGGGCAGGAGTGGAGCCTGCGAACAGGGGCGCTCTACAGGCTGGGCCAAGATTTCGGGGCCTCTCCACACTGGGAGGCTTTGCCTGTCCGCGGTGTCCCTGGGGTCAGCAGGTCAGTGGCTTTTCGAGGCTGCCGTCCCCCCGGCATCCAGCTCTCATTGGCCTCCGGGCCCAGCCAAGGTGGCAGGAGCAGCGGTGGCCCTTTTGACCCCGCTAAGAGCAGACGCCCGTGAGGCCAGGGCAGGGCTGAGCCCCCGAGGGACTCTGCCTGTTCACGGGGGCGCCACAGGCAGGTCGAGGACCCCCTCTGCGGTGCCAGGTGGGGGGCACGGGTGATCTGAGCATTCACACCCAAATCGTTACCTCGGGCAGACCCCACAGGGACCCGCTCGGGCAGGTCATGGCCCCTGTGACACCAGCTCTGCCCTCACAGCGTCAGGGGTCAGGGCCCCGGCTCAGAGACGTCGGATTTGCTCTTCGGGTTTTGGTCCGGCCCAAAATCCTGGCTTTGACCCACCAGTGCTGAGACCCCTTCTCGGTGCTTATGAGAAGGAGTGCCCAGTACAAGGCCCAGAAGTGGGTGGGAGTCACCTGGTGCGACGGGGCTCCACTCACTCCAGGCCCTCCCTGCGCCCCCGGCAGGGCTGGCGGCGGGCGGGGTCTTCCCTCTGGGTCCAGAGCCGCTGGGTGGCCTGCGGTGAGGGAGGCGGGTGGGATCGCACAGGGCTTTGTGGGATTTCAGCCGGAAAGAGCCCCACCAGAGGGCACTGCCGGTCCCGCCGGCTCCGTGGGGACACGAGGCTGGCAGCTGGTGTCCACCAGCCTCCCCAATTACCCTTCCTTGGTGTGTCACCCCTCTGGTGTCCTCCTGGGCTGGGCCGGGAGGACAGGATAGAGACAGGGCCCCTCTCCTGCAGGAATGGCCATCAGGAGCTGCGGGATCGGACCCCGGGGTCCCCGCAGAATCCTGGGAGAGGCTGGCTGAGCCTCCACACCCCTCCCATGGAAGAGGCTCCACCCAGAGGCGGGAGCCAGGCCACCCTTACCTTCTGGGAGAACTTCCGTTTGGCCGCAAGGCAGGGGGCCTTTGAAGAGGACGCACGTGTGAACACGGCCCCTGTACAGAAAGGCCGTTCATGCACGTCTCGGGGGAGATGCCTCACCACCGTCACGTCTGAAGACAGAGCTTCCCAGGCAAAGTGCCCCCCTCCGCACCATCCGAGACAGTCCCCAGGACGCCCCCCACCCCCCCGTCACTCAGGCAGGCTGCCCAGACTCCAGCCTGCTGTCCCCGGGCCCAGGGCTCGGCAGTGACCAGAGCCTTCTCTTTGGGGACATGTGCCAATTCCCAGAGGCACACTGGGGGGAGGGTTCTTGAGAGGAAGCTCACAACAGCCCCCACCTGCTCCCCGCCAGAGAGATTTGTTCCTCGGGGAGGGGGGAGATGCCTGGACCACCCACTGGATGTTTCTGCCCGGCCAGCAGTCTGTACTCGTGGCCCACCTGGGAGACCCAGGAAAGGGCCGATTCTGCCCAGGGCCCAGTCAGCCCCCGCCTGCAGGAGCAGCCAGCGGGGAAGCAGCAGGCGCCCACTGCCACCAGCACCTGACACTGGAGTGCTCTCAGTGCCGGGCGTGGGCTCTGCTGAGGCCTCTGCCCAGCCAAAGGGGAAACCGAGGCAGGACCCCTGGACTCCCTCAACAGCCCCCCCGACTGTGTTGTCAGACTGAGAATTTGAAAGGTCAGAGTTGGAAAGGCACATGCGGTTCAGAGTGCAGCCTCCCTCCAGAGCGCCCCAGAGGCATGACTGCCAAGCCTGCCTTGAATTCTCCTGGGGACGGAGCACTCACCCCTTCACAAGGCTCCTTGTCCCTTGAAGGACAGGCTGCCTATAGAGATGACTCAGCCGCCAATACTAAGGTTTCAATGACCCCTCTTGCCGGCCACCTTCTCGCTGGTGGTCGCCCTGAGGGGTCCTGTGTCCAAGCAGGTTTGTGTTTCTCTCATCTGCTTCCTTGCGGCCGGAAGAGCTAGTTTGAATCAGCAGCGTGGCCTTTCCTTCCAGTGGCTCAGGTCTGGAGCTCACAGTCTGCAGGTTTTACGTGGCAGACAAATGTGCTTGGGAGGAAGCCCAGCCCCCCGACACCCCACTCAGATGGTAGGTTTGGGGGACACCCCTGGAGTGAGGTGGCTTTGAGGTCACACCACGGGCTGATGACCCAGCTTGTGCAGCAGGCAGTGAGGGACAGCTGCCCTGGCCTGGGCCTGCGCAGCCCCTCCCTCTCGTCACCTGTGTGCCGCCTACCAAATCGGGGTGTGTGAGTCCCACTCCGGGGGGCCTGGGCAGGACTCCCCCAGGGCACAGGACATCAGCTCGCGGCTCTGCTTGGCCGAGTCTCACCCTCCTTTTTTCTGCAAAGTGTGGATGCTGCCGGTTTTGTTTCCCCCTTGGTGCGACCCCTGGACCGTGGGGGAAAAGAAGAAAAAGGGAGAAATGAAAAACAAGTCAGGTGGGAGGGGGAGGTAGAGGAGGAGCCGGAGCCAAGAGGAACAGAGCCCCGGGCTAGGGTTCAGGCAGCCACGTGCCCTGGTTACGCTGCGGCATCCAGGCGTGGCTGTTTGTGGGAGGCGCTCGGTGGGCCCCAGGAAGTTCTCTGGTCCCTGGCTATCCGTGTGTCTCGAGTTCACCTGGTGTTTTACCGAATAGTCTTGACCTGCGGTTTCCATCATGTCCTTGAAGGTACCAGTGGCCCCAAAGCAGGACAGAGTGCGGTTGCTGTGGTCTTCGCAGAGAGGTTCTGGCCGTCAGGAACACAGGGGACAGACCCGCCGATGTGGATGGGGGGCGCCGGCCTTGCTGTGACGTCCTCATCCTGGGCTGCGCTCCGGGGTCTCCGAGACCAAGGGGCCCTGGTGCTCACCCCGCACTGCCCTGGAATGGTTCGGTGGAGGCCAGAGTCAGCCGGGCATCCTAGGAGCCCCTTCGTCCTGCCAGGCTTCTTCCAGGCACAGGCCCCAGGGGGCGCTGGCTCTCCCTGTGCCCCCACCCTCTGTGTGAGCTCAGGGGACAGCTGGGCTCCTTCTTGGACAAACAGCCCCCACCACATGTTGCCCGTGCCTCCTGGAATCACCCCCGTCTCCCTCCCAGCCCAAGCAGGGGGCCCAGGACTGTGACCCGCCTGCCTGGGCCCCCGTCTGCCTGGCAGCCGGTGACCCTCCCACCAGCCCCATTTCCCATCAGCGCTTGGTCGCCTCATCCGCAAGCCCCGCAATGAGAGCAAAAACAGGGACTTACAAGCTTGTCCAGGATGCTGTTGCCTCCCCCGCCCCCTCCTTCCAGCACAAGAAGGGTCTTGCTGTTCCTCAGCCTTGCAGATGCCAAAAACCGTCACCAGGGTGTGTGTGCACGTGTCCGGGGCAGAGAGAAGGCTCGGCTTTGTGGCTGGGGCTTGTGGCTCTGAGACAGCCCCCTGGTCCTGAGGGAAGGGGCCGGGGCAAGGAGGAGACCACCCCCGTGCCCACCCAGCTGTGGGAGGTGGGTGCTGGGCCGGTGCTTCAGGGAGCCGGGTGAGAGCGACGGGGCCCGGGGACCCAGGGCGGCCTGGGAGCTCCGTCGCGCGCGCTCAGGGTCCATCAGGCGGGCTGACGACGGATTCCTGTGTGTCCCTGCCTGAGCGCTCACCCCGGCAGGGCCGGCAGCTGGCCGTGTCCGAGAGACAGGAGAGAAGCCGCAAATTACAAGTGCAGGAAAACCTCAAATGATGTGCAAAAAATTGTCAAGGTTAAGAGGATTTTTCCATTCCTTTGCTTCATAACTGGGCATTTCTGATGGGGGTGACTTACAAGCTGGGGTGCTGGTGGGGGCAAGGGGTGGGGTGCCTTCGAGTAGAGGGCTCGGGCATCCAGGCAGCTCCCTGCAGGGGCTCTGGCCACCAGTGGGAGCAGCCAGAGGCCTGGGGTCAGGCAGGAAATCGCTACTCCGTGTGGAGGGACTGAAGGACAGGGCGGACTGCCCACCTGGCACCTCTCAGAGGGAGAGTTTTCGTCTTTTTGGAAGGAAAGGGTGAACCAAGACCTCTCTGTCACCCCAGCTAGCCAGTCAGTGTGCCTGCTAGGGACAGGGGACATCCTCTGACCTCTAGGGACCACCAGGAAGTAACTGCCACCCAGTGACCACTCACAGGGTCGGGGCTGGGACCAGGTCTCCTGGACTGAGGCAGAGGGACCCCTTCCCCAGGAGTGTGAAGGAGCCGGAGGCCTCTGGCCGGCAAGGATGCACACTGGGGTCCTCGGTGGGGGGCGGAAGAGCTCTGCCTCCTCTGAGCCAGCCCCTGCATCCGGGAGGGACAGACACCGGCCAAGGCCCAGCACAGTGTCCGTGGGGGTGGGGGAGGCAGCCAGCCACGCCGCGTTCAGACACCCTCGGGGGAACCGGGGGCGCCTGCCCCGGCGTAGGGAAGGGTTCGGAGGATGCGGTCGCATACAGATACCTGGGGCGCCGTTGAGCTGGGGAGAGAGAGGCCGTCCTGCAGGGCGAGCGGCAGGTCCCCCGGAGGCAGGGCCGATCCTCCAGGGACATCCCCAGGGCTGTGCTGGGTCACAGACAGACCCGACTCTCGGGGAGCCCAGCGCCTGCAGGTGTGGACTCGTGCACCAGCCACAAGGAAGGGCTTGGGAGCAGGGTGGGTGAGGATCAGCCTGGAACCTCCCAGTCGTCCGTGGAAGTGGGAGGCCTCGGGGCTTCCCTTCACCTTCTCCCAGAATGAGCCCTTTAAGAACCTGTAGAGTCAGGCATGATCCATGGGGTGACGGAGGGACAGGGGACGCCACAGGAGCCCCAGTCTGTGTGGGGAGCCTGTGGGAGTCTGCGGGCGGAAGGCCTGTGCAGGACCCCCCTGGGGACGTGTGAGGAGGGGCGATGGCCGAAGGTCCTGCAAGGGAGGGAAGGAGGCTGGTGGGGACGGGCTGGGCCAGCTCCTCGCGAATTGATTCGTCTTCCCAAACACACGGCGGCTGCTGCCTACGCCCACCTGAGCGGCAGCCCCGTCATGCACACGCACACGCACACGCACACGCACACATGAGCTCCGAGGCACTTAGAACAGCCATCCGCTAATCAGTTAGTTACACGGTTCTTCTTCCAGGGGGGTCGGGAGACAGGCCCCCAGAGGCCGAGGCGAGGCAGCCCCCTGAAGCCAGCCAGACCCTGGGGCCATCGAAGCCCCAGGCAGGGCTTCACAGATGGGGGCTGGGGGGTGATGGAGAGACACGCACACACAGAGAAAGAGATGCCAGAGAGACCCCTTGGCCCGCCAGAACCCGTGAGGCATACACTGTGGGGTGGGGACCACAGGGTGCTCTGGCCACCCCCCAAAACCCCCACCCCGTCCTCCAGTCACAGAGGAAGGCGGCAAGGCCGCCTCAGCTGACCGCAGGCTGTGTGTGGTGGGTCTTTCCGATGGGTTTCCTGCAGTTGTGGTGGGAGGTGGGGGGCCCTCGAAGCCTTTGCAACCCCACCTGCCCACCACCGCCCCCGAGGGCCTCCCGCCTCCTGTGTGGCTCCGAGCAGGCCCTGCCCCTCCCCGGCCTCCCAGGGACTGGACTGCAGGGGCTGGGAGGGATCAGAGGGCCCTGCTGCCACACCGCCCCCCGTCCCTGTCCCCGCCTGCCCATCTCTGGTCTGCACCCCCCCCAGGCCGTCTGGGTCCTCTCCCCCGTTTTAGACATAGGCCCATTGGGTGAAAGTTGCCCCCAGGAGGGGAATTCTCAGCCCTGACGCCCCTGAGCTCACAGCCCCTGTCCGGACCAGCCTGCAGAGCTGGCAGCACAGCTGGGCACCCCCAGTGTGTCACTCAGAGACTTGTCATTAGAGCAGGGGCACCGTGGGCTGTGGGCGGGGCTGTGGGCATGGATGTGGGAGCACAGACAGACTACAGGCAGGTTCTGTGTCCCCCCAAACTTTGTGGGGCCCTTGGCCATTTAGAAAGTGACTGGATATTTGGGGACCACCTGAACTATTTACAAAGCATGCGGATTCTCTGGCCGGGGGTGTCTTCCCCAGGCCCCTGGGGACAGCCTCCTTCCCTTTCCAGTCCCTGACGGACCACAGGGACCTGGTGAGACCCTCCATTTGCACTGGGACAGGTCACCACGTCCTGCCCTGACTTGGTGACTTGGCTGGGTCCTCCTGTTGCCCTGCTCCCATCGCCTGCTCAGCTGCACACACCTGCACTCCAGAGGCTCAGCACGGAGGGGCCTCGGCCCCCCTCCCCTCCCATGCTCCCTGCGCCGGGCCGGGCTGCGCTGGAGGGTCACCCTGATGCCGCTGCCCCAGGCCTCCGTAGGGACAGAGCCGGTAGGGCAGGGAGGGCCCCAGCCGGCCTCCGGGGAGTCCCTCTCGGAGCTGGGATGGCAGTCAGGCCTCTCTGTCCACAAAGGAGCTGCTCCAAGGTGGCCCTGAGCAGCTGCAGCAGCCGCCGGGCGGAGCCGGTGGCCCCACGGGCGTGAGACAGGCCGAGTGGCTACAGGCCGCGGTGTCAGAGGAAAGTTTCCAGGGTCCAGAAAACGACGTGTTTTCTGACTTCAGGGTGAGGTGCCCACACACTCCCCCCGGCGGTCCGCAGCCGCGCCCCCCCACACCTTCTCCCTCGAGAACGGTTTCTGCCGCCCTGCCCCCGCCCTCGCCTCCACAGAGGGCTCTGCTCCGAGACCCAGTGGCCTGGGCTTTCTCACACGTGGGGCAACTTTGGTGGCGAGCATTTGCAACGCTGGTGGCCCTTTTAATTCTGCACCAGTGAACTGCTGGGTGAGAAAAGAGAAGGCCCCCCCCCCCACCGTGCTGGGCTGCAGGGGAGCCTGGGCGGGGTGGGGAGGGTCGAGGGCCCCGCCGATGACCAGCTGCGGAGCTGCCTGCTCCTTGGAGCCCAAGCAGCCGGCCTCTTGGGAGGAGGACCCTTCTGACCCGCTTGGTTTTCCGTCTTCCCGGGCAGATGGCAGAAGACCTGGGCGGCGAGAAGTTCTGCGTGGATGCCGGGCAGGCCGGGGCCGGCAGCTGGCTCAAGTACATCCGGGTGGCGTGCTCCTGTGATGACCAGAACCTCACCATGTGTCAGATCAACGAGCAGGTAGGTCCTCTGCCCCTGCAGCCGGCCCGGGGGACCCGCCGCCGAGGCGGAGAGGTGTGGGGGCGCCGCGTGACGGGTCCGCTGGCCTCTGCCATGTGCTTTGGCCCTGTCCTGCCAGGGGGCGGCCGTCTGACGCTTGATCAGCCCAGGGCTTCCGGGAGCTCGGGGGACAGCCGGTGAGGGCTCCACTGGGGCCATCGGGCCGTGGCCGGCAGCCTCCGGGAGCCCAAAGCTGACGGTGCGTGTGAGGAAAAGCAGCCAGGGCTGATGCCTCCGTGGCAGGGTCCACGCTCCGCCTGGGCAGGCCCGGGAGAGTCAGGGAGCGGCAACCGTCCGCTTGGCGCTGCATCCGAACACGCCAGGGAGTCGGCCGAGTGCCAGAAAGGCCGAGGCGGCCCCAGCCACCCATGGCCTTGGGCTCCCACAAGGGCAGCCCGGCCGGCCTGCCGTGGCAACTCGCCCGCCGTGGGTGTCCGGCCGCCCCCGTGCTGCCGGCACCACAGGCCCTGGCTCTGCACGGCAGGTGTCCAGCCTACACACTGACCAGGGTGGAAGGCGCCCTGGGGAGAGTTTCCCGGGATAAGGAAGGCAGCGTGTCCTGGCGCTGGGAGCCGCTCCCTGACGACTTTAATTACAGGCTGGTTCCGGAGCCAGGCCTCTCGGGCCTGTGCTCACTGTGTCCCCGAGGACTGGGTTCCTGGGCGGGGGGGCGGGGGAGGGCCCAGGCCCTTCCATCAGAGCTGTTTGCCTTTGCCTGTAATATCTTGGGGTTACACATGAGATTTCATTTGCACAAAGGATTCCATTGCTTTCAAAAATGTTTGCGGAGACCACATAACAAAAGGCACATTCTCGCGTCGCCTGTGCAAACCATTAACAGCGGCTCGAGGCTCTTGACGTTGGAGAAACGGTTTGGCATTAATAAACGCAGAGAGCACAACCAGGGCGGTCCCCGGGACCCCGCGGGCTGGCGGGCGACTCTCCCTCCTCTGCTCCGAGTCCCCGGCGGGGGTCCGCCTGCACAGGGCAGGGCTCCTCCGGACACAAGCCGGCGCCAGGCACACAAGGCTCGAATCTGCCCCCCCTCCCAGGACATCCGTGGCTTTTAGTGAGGACCCAACATTTTGAAAATAACTTTTTTTAATTGCAAAAAGAAAAAAAAATCCTACCGATATAAAGCAAAAGAATACTCATAAAAATTAGACAAGAACTTGGAAAGAAATTTTCTTTCTAGATGATGGTAAATTTTGAGCACAGGACAGTTAGATTTAAGGCTCGTCGGAAGATGGTCTTGCCGCCCTTGGTTTGGAGAGAGCGTGTGAACACGGCTGCCGACCACACGGCAGCCCCGGGGCCGGGCCCGTGCTGCCCTCCCGGCCCCGCGAGGGGAGTTCAAAGCGCCCGGATTTTCCGTTTGGGAGATGGATGTGCTGGGTGCTGGACCCCGAGTGAGGCCGGAAAGTTGGCATCTTCGTGCCGCGAGCTTTTGAAAAAGCAAACAGATGTATAATCTCGATGCATAATCTTCTCAGAAAGCAGCCTGTCTTCAAACGTCTTTGTTTCATTGTTACTGTTTCAAGGGAGCGTCCGTTCCAGCTCCGCGCCTGGTGCCCGTGGAAAGACGGATTCGCCTGCTCTGTCCGCCACCAGGACCGGCAGAGACACTTTCCACAGGCACCAACCAGGTCTCTTCTTGTGACCCTCGTCCCCCGGCCAGCGCTCGCCGGCCAGAAGCTCCACGGGCTGCTGGACCCCCCGGGTGGGGCACTCGGCCCTCGCAGCCCGCCTCTGGGGTCTCCTCTTTGCCAACACCCTCTGCTTGGTCCTCTATGGCTCTGAGCAGTTCACGGTCCCCGGGACCTCAGGGAGAAGTGGCAGCCTGTCACTGCCACCTGCTCCTCTGGCGCCCTCCTCCCCGTGGCTCTAGGAGGGGGGCCCCAAGCATCGGAGGCACCGCTGGGCCCTGGACCCGGCTTTGTCGCCTCTGGGTGACTCGGTTTGCTCTCCACAAGGGGTCCCTGGACGGTCCTGAGGCCGGGCAGGTGTCGGGGCTGCTGGAGCGGAGTGCGCAGGGGGACAGCTGGGGACTCGGAGTCTTCCTCAGCAGTCGTTGGGGCTGGTCAGGCTGCACGCAGCCGGATGGGGGGACAGAGGAGAGTCACGCGGCCTCTGTCCTGACAACCTCGCCCCCCCACAACGCCCCCCTGTGTGGTGCGTTCGCCCCCAGTTAAGGGCAGACAGGTTGGCTCGAAACCTTTCAGGAGAGACCTGCAGGCTGTAGATGTTCAGAGAGAAAGCGAAAGCTGCAGGGGGAGCACCCACAGGGGAAGGGAGGGGGGGGCTCCCACGTCGTCTAGGATATGGATGGCGAGGTGGCAAGTGGCTGTGGGGCTGAAGAGGCTGTGACATGATGCTGGGGTCACACACATGTTAGGGAGCAGGGCTCAGGGCTCCAGACACACCCACACCCCCCAGGGCCGGCCGGGCAGCAGGAAAAGGCACACCCGCAGCTGCGGCTGCGCAGGCCCCGCTCCCGTGGAAGCGGAGGTGGCTGACCTCCTTTTCCGGGTCAGACGAAGGGGTTGCACCAGGAGATTAGCCGGCCGACAACCCCGGGCCGCGAACAAGCCCACACTGTGCCGGATGCACACCGGGGCTCCCAGGCCGAAGCCCTGCGTGGACACACGGGGCGTCTTTCTCCTGCTTTTATTTCTGTCTCCCCGACACGGCCTCTGTCTGCCAGGGCTGGGTGTCCAGCGGCAGCCCTCAGGCACCCGCCGCCTTGCTCTGCCTCGTCCCGGGGACGGTCCCCTCCTGCCTTTGTGCTCAGCCCCCTCCCCACGGTTTCCTAAAGGAGAAGTTGTGCGGTGGAAATGGTAGCCACCAGATACCATTTTCCCTTTGAAAGCGAGAACGGCAGGGGGTTCGGGTTAGCCCGTCCAACCCAGGCCCCAAAAGACTGAAAAACACATCCACTCTCTCTGAGTCAGGAAGGTGTCCGATCTCACGGTGGCTTCTTCAGACCAAACCGACCCTCTTGTTGGCAAACAAGATAGACACCCAGCTGACGGCTCCATCAGAGTGCGGCCCGGCTGCAGTCCCTTCTCAGCCACGCACGCTTCCCCCCTCTATCGAATGGGGCGCTCACTGCCAGGAGCGACACAGACCATGGAACCGCGACCAGCAGTTTATACACACAGAGCGAGAGAGAGAGAACGCCCAGCTCCAAACCGTACCGCTGGGAGATAAGTGTGAGGATCTGTGTTTAATGTTTAAGTGGCTGGGAAGGCGGCAGAAGAACCACAGCAAAGTGTAAAGATTCCACCAGATGCAGATCAGGTACCAAGGCTTCCCCTTCCTCGGCCAGCCGCAGGGCCCCGGCGCCCGCAGCTCTCCCAGGGAGAGGTGGCCCACCTTTCGGGGACGCAAATAGTAAAGACACACAGTGGCACCTCCAAAGTCCCAGAGCGGTGAGGCCGCACGGGAATCCACCCTTCAGTGTCCTCAAGAGACAAAAGGAAAGAAGAAAAGGCCCACCCAAGCATGAGCCTCAGACTGACGTCCTCTCTCCGGAGGACGGACGGGACAGGTGGCCGTGCCGCTGTATGGCCCTGCGGGCACCGGTTTCGGGGACGCAGGCTCCCCGACTCCCCGAGCCCCGTGCTGCCTCCGGGAAAAGCCCCCTCACCGACCGCACCAAGGAGCTCGGTGAACTCAGGCGCGGCTGCATTTCCAAATCCAGGGCGACAGAGGCTGGTGGTTCTGTGCAGGACAAGCAGCCGCTGAGACGTCACAACTCCGTCACCCGAACACCCCTTTCCAGCCTCTCGGGCTGGTCGGACCCGGGTAGCGGGGTGGTCCGGTCCCTACATGGCTTCCGAGTTCAGAAAACCCACTCGCTCCCCCGGGAGGGGCCGAGCCAGAGGCCGGGCTGAGTCCCTTCTGCCCGGGACAGTGTGCGTTTCAACAGAAGAATCCTCAGCTTAAGTAGAAATCAAAACTGTGGAACTTCAGTGCTTATATTAGAAGAGAGTATTTATCCTTGTGAATTGATTTGATATTCAAAAAAGAAAACTTAAAGAACTGTATGGAGAAAGTATCCGAACTGACAGCTGTTGTACATACAAACTATTTCTTTGTCTTCGAGAACGTTGGCGGGGTGGGGGTGGGGGTGAGGTTCATTTTCCGAAAGACCCACTGGAAACAGACACTCGAAACCCAGCTCTTCTGTGGCAAGTTCTCTGCCCTTTGTTGGGGACGTGGGCACGGGTGTATCCCTCCCTCTGCTCACCCATGAGGAGTGCCTCTTGCACCCCGGGGGGGATGACAGAGGGGAGAGACACAGGCAGGGCCAGCTGAGGAAGTCACAGCATCCAGGGCCCTGTTGGGGTGTCGGCTGCCCGCGTCCAGTAAAATCCTTGTCATTACAAAGAGGCCGGGACCACCGAAGCGAGGACTCAACTTCAGACCCAGCCTGTCTGGCAGCGTCATTTTCAAGGCCGTTTGGAGCCGACAGCTATTGGTGCTGGTAAACTCAGCGGTTGCCGCGGTGGCGGGTCTGAAATGGGCGGAGACATCTCAGCCTCGCTGGGGCGCAGGGCCCTGGCCCAAGGCAGGGCCCAAACAGGGTGAGCAACTCGGGTGGCTCAGAAAAAGGCACAGGTCCTTGGATCTGTCCCCTGAGCAAAACACGGTGTTCCCTTCCTGCAGCCAAGCCAGCGGGAAAGGGCTTTGGAGAGGAGGGTCCTTCCCCTGGAGAGACAGGCGCCCTCCCCGCCTGGGACAAATCCTGGGCTCAGCCTGGCCCTGCCTGCGGCTGACGTGGCCCTGGGGTCGGGGTATGAGGGACCCAGGGGCAGACAATGAACGGAAGGCGATGAGCCGACTCCCGGAATTTTAAGGGGCTGCAGTGAAGTATGCCAGGCCCGGAGGGCAGGGCCGCTTGGTACAGGGAAGGCGCAACTGGCCCCCCTCCAGCCAGGAGCAGCCTCAGTCCCACCTAAACCCGGCCTTTGTCCCGTGAAGTCGCGACCCGGAGGAGCAGGGACCAGGCTTTGTCAGTGCGTCTGGCTGATAAGGCTTTTGTGCCCCTGGGGACGGGTCGTAAAAACGCCAGCAGCTCCTGTGCGGACCTCCCCGCCGCTGGCTGGCGAAGACCGACCCCGCGGCCGTTGGAAGAGTCGGTGCAGATTGGCCCCTCCTCCAGGTGGAGGCGGTGGGACCTCGACCCCCACCCCAGCCCCGCCTGGGCCCGGCGATTCACGCTAATGGCGATGAATTCCTTCTGTAGCTCAAAGTCCTCCAGGCGGTCAAGGCCACCGCCCCACCGCCCTCGGGGTCCTGAGCTCTCGCCCAACAGGCGCGCACTCGGACATCAATCCTGAGGGTTGGGGGGGGGCGGGGGTCGACCGCTGCTGGAAAACTGCTCCCTGAGGCCCCGCGTCCTACACCAGCCCCCTGTGGCTCGAGGGGCGGAGGGTGGTCCTGCAGAGGCCAGGCAGCCTGGGGGGGCGTCAGAGGAGGGAGTCAGGTGGCCCTCGAATTGGGGGTGCGGGTGTTGAAGGGTCCCAGCTAGAAAGGGTGTGGGGGCGGGACCCTGGAGGCCTCGGAGTGTTGGTGGGGGTGGCCCTTGGAGGGGATGGGGGAAGGCCCGCTGCCCTAGGAGCCACCGGAGACCCGGAGTCCTTCCAAGAGGGGGAGGGGTGGGGCTGGTCCTGGGAGGCTGGTCGGCCCCGGGGGAGTAAGATGGGCTTACGGAGGAGGGAGGCGGCGGTGCCCAGCCCCAGAGCCAGGCCGGAGCAGGGACCCAGCAGCCGGGCTTCGGAGGACGCCGAGGCCCCGGAGGCGCGCGCGCGCGGAGCCGGGATGAGGTCAGAGCGCATGGCCCACCTCTCTGGTCCGGGGCCCTGCAAGGCGGAGGGCCGCCGGGCGGGTCCACACTGCCCTCTAACGGGGACCTGCGGGAGCTGCAGCTCGGCCCCGACCCTCCCTCTGGGCGCGTTACCGACCCCTGATTCAGCGACCCTGACGCCCAGGGACACTTGCTCAGAGCCTCGGGGGCCTTTCGGTCGGATTTTGAAAACCAGAAGCTCGAGTCTGACTTTTCCAGAAACAGTGGTTTGGCCACCGTAGTTTTTTTGATAAAATGATACAAATCCGGCATGTTAAGAACAGCTGGTTTGATTACAAAAGTTAATACGGTCTGGAGTCTACGCCACATTTTAAAACCCTGCCCTGAGGTTCCTGGTGGCCCTGACAGGCACGGCCAGTAAAACAACCCATGAGCTCAGGCAACGGGAACCTGACCCCGGGGAGGTGTGTGCTGGGGCCCAGGTGTTGCTGTGAGCGGTTCCGCTGCCCCAGTGTCCCCGGAATGACGTCCAGGTGGGTGTGGGGACACAGTGTGGGTAAAGTGTCCCTGTGGAGTTCGGGCTGGCAGCTCACGGGCACCTGCTCGGGGCAGAGGGGGACAGAGTCCGACAGGCTTTCAGGAAGCTCAGCGTTCCAGACGCTTCCCAGGACAGCGGGAGTGGGGGAGGCCGTGTGCCCACTCAGTCTGTGGGATGCCTGACCCCGTCCAGCTGCCGCGGGGAGGCCCGGCCTGGCACCTCCGCCAGCTCCTCCATGACGGCCTCTGAGCCTCCGCACCCCACCCCACCCCCTGCCCCGTATACCAGAGCAGGTGGGTCTCTCTCTGACCCGCCAACCTGTCCTGTGGCCCGGCCTTTGGGCTTCCGGAAGTTCTTTGGTTGCAGTTATCTGACTAGGGGCCCAAACACCCACATGCCAGGTGGTAGTCAGTGGGCTGGCCTCACAGATGCCCCGAGGTCTGATAATGCCGGGTTTCAGAGGCAGGCGGGTGCCAGCTTTGCTCGCGTGAGGAGTGGGGGTCCCCCGACCGGAGCACGTGCTCAGCAGAGGACCGGGACTCCCACTCCACACCAGGAAGGCGAGGTCCTCCCCCAGAGTCACCCAGACCTCGGGTGCTGTTCTCTGGGTGCCGTCTCACATGGGTGGCCCTGGCCACGCTGCCCTTCCGCGGTGCTGAGTTTCCCGGCTCCCGGGGGCCGCCTCCTGAGCCAACCGCCCTTCCCCAGGAGACTGACAAGCTGCAGGGCTGCCCACAGGACCGAGGCTGGACATTCCTCCGCGGCCTCTGAGCCGCAGCGTCTCCCCTGAGCCCTGCCCTGCTGCACCCTGTGTTCAGGGACGTCCCCGGTCCCAGATTCCCGATGGACTCGGGCATCAAGCTTGCAACAGGCACCACGGCCCTCCGCCGCCCCTACTCTCAGTGGGTGTTCACGCTCACGAGACACTTGCAGGGTCCTGGCCCCCGGCGGCATCTGAGTTCACGGCCACTTTCATGAACATCCACGCTCTTGACCCAAGGGCCCCCGTAGGGTAGAGGACGTCTCCCTTGCTCACGTACACATCAACGGAAGGAGTCACCCGGGCCCCCTGCCTCCTGCCAGGACGCTCCCTGCTTCGGAACTCTGGGTCTGCCCCTCATCGATTGAATCTCACATCCTCTGTATGACCCCCCAAAACTGGATGAAACAAATGCAGAGGGGACTGCGGTTCTCTTGAGCACGTCAGGCACAGCCCCCGCGGGGAAGCTCTCCAGAGTGACTAGGAGCCAGGCATCCCCCGCCCCGGGTGATGGCCCGGTGTGCGAGGCGCGGCTCTGGCAGCGCCAGGCAGGACGAGCTCACCCACCCCCGTTCTGGTCTCTCCACCCTAGATTTATTACAAAGTCATCAAGGACATCGGGCCCGGAGAGGAGTTGCTGGTGCACGTGAAGGAAGGCGCCTGCTCCCTGGGGGCCGTGCCCCCCAGCCTGGACGGTAAGCTCCCCGGGGCCCCTCACTTCACACACTGCAGGGCCAGGCCCCCAGCTGCCCTGCCCAGGCGAGCAGCCTCCCAGCCTCTGCCCTTGGCTCTCCGCTTCCGCGGGGTCTGCCCTGCGTTCAGGACAGGACTTCAGCCCCCGTGGGGCACGGGTGTCCTGTGGCGTTACCTCTGCAGTGGCAGACATTTTCAAAAATGCCGTTGTTATTATTACTAACAGCCGCAGCGTCGTGGGCTGTCCCTGGTTTTGTGACTGGGAAATGCTCACCTCCCAGGGCCAGGTGCCCCGGGGGAAATCTGGGTCTCGCTCTGGAGAGGACAGTGACGCAGCCGTGACTTTGAAACCAGAGCCCGCCTGTAGCTAAAAGGAGGCCATCCGGGAGAAAGGCTGAGGGCCGCGTGCTCGGGGAGAGGGAAAGGCGAGGCCGCGGCCGGTCCTGGGTCGGATGCCGCTCCCTCCTTCACCGGGACGCAGTGTCCCTGTCTCGTGATGCCTCCCCCGGAGCCTGGCCCGTAGCACACTTCCCTCCCTCGACCTCCCACCCCAGTGTGTCTCTGTGGAAGGTGCAGAAAAGTCCAGTGGCGAACAGGCGAGGGCGTCCTGGACACGGACTCACGTCCTGCCCCCACGCAGCTGTGCCCACACGTCTGGGGGTTCCGGAGCCGGGCTCAGTCACCGAGGAAAAGCCGGACGGAGGGACACCTCGGGACTGGCCACCAAGTCCCCGTGGGCCGCCTCCAAACAGGCGGCAGCTTCTCTTCCACGCCAGCATCAGGCGCCAGGGTGGGCGTTGGGGTTACCAGGAGAGACTCCCAGCTTCCCGACGCCGTTTATCTGTTTGTCGAGAGTGGGACCGGCGGCCAGGAGCCAGGCCTCCCTGACGCCGCAGTAGCTGGTGGCCCTGAGCTGTCCCAACGGCAGTCGGCCCAGAGGACGGCTTTATGAGCCGGAGCCCGTCCGTCCTGTCCTTTGACGTGTGGTTTGAATTAGGCCCTCGAGCAAAGAAAAATAAACGGCGGAGGTTGGGGTGGCCGGGCGGTGGTCTCGTTTTCCCTAAGCAGTTGTGGAAAGACCTCTGCATCTTCGGGGGCGTGTGAGACCCTGAAGGTGAGTCCGCCCAGATCGGGCAGCGTGGTGAAGATGGCTGTCGTTTGCCTGACAAAGTTTCTGTCTTCCCCAAGGTTTCAAAAACCTTGATCCCCACTCCCCTTCCAGCCCCCCATCTTAAATAACCCAGGTCTACATTCTCCTATTAGTGTATCAAACATTTTCGGGCTAATTGCTTGCCACACATGATCGTCCGACATCACCTATTTGCCTTTCCAGACCCTCGGCTGTCAGGATCCCTCCCAGCAGCAGCCCCCTGCGCCGCCACCCCCCCCAAGTCAGGCACAGAAAGAAAACGTTCCTCACTAAGATAATTATCATAAAAGATATTTTATCCCAGGCCCAGCTAACTGCATCAGCCCCTTATCATGGCGGGAATTTGGAGTGGGCTTTGCCCGCCCCGAGCCCCGGGGCTGGTGGATTAGCAGATGCCACAGGATTGTGCCCCCTCGGCTCTCCGAACCCATTAGGCACTGGCTTGTTTTTCCGTTGCATTCCTGCTCCACCAGCAAAAGTTGCTGATGGCCCTTCGGAGAGGCAAGCGGGGCGCAGAGCCGACACCCAAGCCATGTGGGCTTGCGTGGGGGGTGGAACGTCTGCCCGGCCGCAGCCCCCACAGCCCCTGACCCGGTGTCCGCGAGGAGACCGCTGTTTCGAGTCTCCATTACGTGCCCTTGTTGGGGGCGGCGAGGGGGGGCCTCGCCCGGACGCGGTTCAGGTCACGTGGAAGAAATGGCGGCCCTGGCTGGCCGCGGCACTGCGGGAGGGTGGCCGGCCCACGCTGTCTAGGCCACAGCTCTGCGGAGGCGCGAGTCCCGTGTTCCTCCCCGTGAGTCAGAGCAGAGGGGGAGCCTATATGCTCATCGACGCCGGGACGTTTTGTTTCGTTTTTTACTCTTTCAATGGAGAGGGGGAAGGTTCCTCTTTCAGGACACCTTCATGCTCTTGGAAAAAAGTAAAGAAAATAATTTCCATCTAAATGTCCTTTTCTTTTGAGAAAGGCTCAACATTAACTTTCCCCCCTCTCCACAAAAAGGGCAGAGGATGCCACAGACAATGTGATACAACACAATGTAACACAGTGTAACTCGCTGCAATGTAACAACACAATGCCATTTGATTCGATACAATGTAACGTGACATACCCATACTCTTCCAGGCTTCGGTAAAACAGAACTGCTTGCGCTGCAAAGGCCACAACCTCGAGGGCCCTGTGCGCCCCTCCCGCCCCGTCCCGCACACCCCAGCCGCTCCTTCAGTGCCGGCCTTACCTGCGTGGAAGGCGGCTGGGACTCCCGTCCACACCCCAGCGTGGATAGGCGCGGCTTAGACCCGTCCAGGGCCTAGCCTGGCCCTTTGACTGGGCAAACACGGGCTGTGGTGGAGTGGGGGGCGGTGCGGGAGGGCGGACGTCATCGCCACGGGCCAGTGCCTCCCCGCCAGCCCCCCAACGCCATCAGACTGAGGATCAGGCTGCAGTTTCATTTTAGATCCAAATTCCACATCAAAAGTGGGAAAATCAGTTGGTTAGAGTTATGGATGCCCGGGGCTGGCAGTTGCTCTTTGTTTCCAAATCGCAGCTTCTCCGATTGCTCTGAGCAGGGTGCGGAAAGAGGAAATCCAAGCCGGCATTTCTAACTCGATCGTGGCGCTGGTGTGAGCGCCTGCCGGGGCCCAGCACGCCTGAGAGGTCCCGCAGGACAGTTCCGTGGGGTCTGAGTGTCCAGCTCTGTTCTGAAACGGTGCCCAGACGTGCAGGGGTTCCAGAGTTCTAAAGTCAAGGAAGGCTGCAAGGGGTGACAGCTAGTCCCCAACTCACAGGCCTGCATGTCACATGGCCTTCTGGGAAATGGAGACTCCGCCACTGGTTTCCAGGGCGCCGGACACGGTGGAGGCCGCAGTCACACGGCTCTGCCGCCTTGCTGGGTCCCCGGGCTAGTTGTTCCGTCTCTCTCGGCCTCAGTTTACCTGTTGGAGAGCAGACGAAAGCAGAGGCCCCAGCTGGGTGCGCTGGGGCTAGTCCGAGACTCCGATGCGTGAGTGCCTGGCGGTCCGGGGCTGGCGCCTGGCCCCGCCCCTCGGCGTCCGCGTCACTTCTGTGACTTCCCAGCAGACCAGTTTCCCCGAGAGGAGTCGGCACTGCAATGCTGGTTTAAGGGCAGCACTTCGCAGGCGTTCGGGGCGATGATTTCATAACGATCCTCATCCCTGCCCCCCTCCCTAACCCGTGGACATGGCGGGGATCCCACCCTGGCACCCAACACCAGCTCAGGACCTCGGTGGGATTTGTTCCAAACCTTTCCCGGACGTTGCTCTCCCGTCCGCCTCGGGCCCCGCAGCCCACGTCCCCCTGCCCAGCCAGCTCCTCCTGCTGTGGGCGGGGACACACAGGGCCTGTCAGCAGGTGTGTTTCAAAAGCTTGCGTACAGGTCATGGGCACAGCCGCCCTCCCTGTCTCTGCCTTCCAGGTCCCTGGTCTGTGTGGGCCGCTGGCCTTCTTGCCTCTTGAGTCGGGGGCAAGTTCCAGGACAGTGTGTCCGGAAATATTTGGGCCCGAGGCTTCCAAGCTCCAGAGGCCAAGGCCCCTGCCCCCACGGCCACTGTCTCAGAGCAGGGCCGACAGCGTCCCCATTCCCTGCACCGGGGCTGCCTGGCCCGCCCCAGACACGTCTGTCCTCTTGTCCCCAGCAGACATCTGCCTGTTCCCAGAGGTGTGAGCCAAGGCCGCATGAGGCGAGGTGATGCCTGTGTATCTAAGGGTCCAGCCCCCCGCCGTTCAGCCGGCCTCTCCCCCTCAGGTGTCCCCACCGGAGGCTCAGGTGCCCACCACAGGGGGCGCCTACCAGTGCCTACCTGTTGGCTCATGGAGGCATCTGGTCAGGAGGAGGTGGCCCACCCTTTCCCCCCCGCCCCCACCCACACCGCCCAGGCCGGGCGGCTGCTCACCCTTCCTGGGCACTCAGAAGTGTCTGTGGCGGTCTCTCTGATGCCCGAAGGGGCTGGAGGCAACCCCCATCTGCTGCCTCCCCCGCCCCAGCCTCCCTGACCTCTGAACCCCGAGGGTCAGGCCCTGCGGGCCTCACTCAGCCCAGGTCGGCCAGGTTCCGCCCAGTGCCAGGCCTGGGGATCTGTGAGCCTGTGCACACACGCACGTGGGCACGTGTGCTGTGTGGGCACACAGCACACACACTCATATGTGCATGCAAAGGCACATGCAACGTGAGAGCACCCACATGCAAATGTGTGCTCATTTATACATGTGCACATGCAAACACATGCATACCTGACACACATGTGCACGTGACACAATGCAGCACACACGTGTGCACAGAAAAACACACCCAAATGCCCAAGCACACTCACACACACATGTGGTTCGAAGATATGAAAACACCAATTTTCACACACATAGTCACATGTCAAAGCACGCACGCACGCTCATGCCTGTGCACGCATGCACATGGACACAGATGTGCACCAAGACAAACACTGGTGCGGGCACACAGAAATGCTGACATACTCGCACAGGCGTGGACGCCCGTGTGTGGGAACAGTCATGCACACACATGTGTGTCACACAGCTGCGTGCCGGTGCACGAGAAGCACACACGCACCCACACACTGCCTCCAAAGCGGACGCACGAGGCCCGTTTGTGCGGGCGTTCTGGGCGCTGTGCTCTCTCTCCAGCCCTGGGTGGGACCCAGGGCCCCCCTCGGGCGGGGAGGGGGCTTGTGGAGGGGACACCGCTCTCGCTCTCGCAGGGAAAGCTGCTGTCAGGCGTCTCCGAGCCGGGGGGGGGGGGGGGGGCTGGGACGGGCCGGAGGTCGTCCCCCCAGGAAATTGACAGCTCCGGGCTGATTGTTTGGCTTGGCAGGCCGGTCAGGATGCCGCCTCGTAAACTTCATAATAGCCGCCCCCCTTTTAATTTGTTTGACCTTGACGACGGTAATTTATGACATGCATTAGAGCTCTGTCATCTTTCTTCTCCTAATTCATAAACAAAGCACTTGGCCTGGCTCCCTTCCCCGCTCCCGAGCACCGGCCTTCTCCAGCCCACGGAGGCCCGCCGGGGAGGGGGGCCGGTGCCGCTCAGCGTTTCTGTACGTGTGGGCCCTGGGTCCCCGAGGCCTCCACGTCCCCGGGGCAGCCACTCCTGGGCCCGGGAGGAGGGCAGGAAGGAAGCAGGGGTGGGAGGGGGCAGCCGGTGCGGGGTAGGCTCCCGGGGCCCCGCCACCCTCCCCCTGTGGGCCCTGGGGGCCGGTGCCAGGCCCCCCCCCATCCCGAATGCTCTCTCTTGCAGAGGAGCCCACGTTCCGCTGTGATGTGTGTGACGAGCTCTTCCCGTCCAAGCTGGACCTGCGGCGGCACAAGAAGTATGCGTGCGGCCCGGTGGGGGCCGCCCTCTACGCGGGCCTGGCCGAGGAGCTCAAGCCCCAGGGCCTGGGCGGCGACGGGCGGGCCCTCGAGTGCAAGGACTGCGAGCGGACGTTCCCGGACAAGTACAGGTGCCGCACCGCCCCCGCCTCCCCTCCCCAGAGCCAGCCTGCGGCAGCAGGGGCGGGGGCCCTCGGAGCACAGTGGGGGCCGTCAGAGGGGCGGAGGCCCTCGTCTCGGACAGGCCGAGGCCTCCAGGGACAGGTGGAGAGGAGCGTCCCCTCCAGCGGCACAGGCTCAGGGCGGGCACCCTGGCGGCACACGGGGCACCGAGGCCAAGCAGGCCCGTGAGCCGGCTCTGGGCGCCCACAGCTGTCACCGGCTCTGACCTGAAGGTCAGGCCCTGGTCAGAGCCCCCGGCCCTGGAGGACCCACCTGTTGTCCAGTGGCCCTGCGGTTCCTCGGCCGGAGACAGGTGTGAAGGAAGTGAAGGGGCGAGGCCGGCCCACCAGGGTCGGGCCCCAGGGCTGCTTCTGTAGGGAGGTCCGAGGCCCAAGTCAGGGGGCCAGTCACCCCCCCCCTCAGGGCTTGGTGAGGTGGCCTGACCGTCTGGACACACAGTCCACTCCCCAGACAGTGGTCAGTAGTGGGAAGAAGCCACCCAGGGGCCCCCGACCTCCATCACAGGTACCAGCATCGGCTTCCCATGGGCAGTGTCCATCTGTCCCAGACCTGGCAGAAAAGGGCAGGGCGTGCCAGGCCAGCTGTGTGATGCTGGACACCGTCTGCCGGGAGCGGGCCCAAGCCGCCCTCCACTGCCCCAGAGCCAGGCCGGCGTCCGAGCGGGAGGAGCCCAGGAAAGCCGGGCCTCCTAGGGTCTGCAGAGAGAGAGCAGGGATGTGGGGGTCCCGTGCTCCAGGGGACCTGGAAGCCTTCTCCACCACAGGCCTCTCCCCCTGCCCTGGAGAGCATCCCCCAGGGCAGGCGTACAGCCCCTCCAGGTCACTAACTGGCTGCGGGGTTGCTGGGGGGGGGCCAATGTCCAGCCCATCACAGTCTCCCCAGCGGCGGGAAGCCCTGCACCCAAGCAGATGACAGAAAACCAGCATTTGAGCAAACCCTGACCGAGGCCCTGGGCGGCCAGCGCTGCCCAAGAGGGTCCGTGTTTTCTATACATAAACACATAAATCACAATTAACGACAGGGAGAGACATACAGTCCGCCAGGCGCGCAGGAACCGGGCACTTCTGATCTGAACGGATGGCTGGGCCCCGTAATTAACGGGCCGTGATGTCTCACCACTCGGCTCATGAAGATTAACGGGTGTACCTGGGCCAGGAGGAGAAGCGGGGAGTCCCCCCGAGGGTTGGGGTAGCTCGCTCATCCAGGGCCCGGCCCTGCCCAGCATCTGCTGGCTGCCCCCCCCCGCCCCCCACTCCACCCCATCCCGTTGGAGACCTGCGCCTGCACCCCTGGCCACCTCTTTGTGTGGGCACCGCGGGCCGACGCCGCCTGGCTTGGCCGGCGAGCACCCTGAGGCCACTCAGGGGTGGCCTCAGCTTTCCTGGGCCCTACTCCCACGGTCGGGCTCTCTCGAGTGTTGCAAGTCTCTGAACCCCTTCTTCTGCCCAAGGTCAGCTTCAAGGTTAAAACCGTCCAGAAGAGAGGCCAGAAGTGTGGGCTGGGGACCCCAGGGGTGGTTTCGGAGGGGGGCCACCTCCACCCCTCCCTCCCAGGGGCTGGCTCTGGTCCCCGTGGGGGGCGGGGCGTGGCGGGCCGGCCGTGACGCGTCCCCCCCATGCAGCCTGGAGCAACACATGGTGGTGCACACGGAGGAGCGGGAGTACAAGTGCGACCAGTGCCCCAAGGCCTTCAACTGGAAGTCCAACCTCATCCGCCACCAGATGTCCCACGACAGCGGCAAGCGCTTTGAATGTGAAAACTGCGTGAAGGTAACGTGCCTGCGTGCTCCCCCTCTCCTTGCCCCTGCCCACCGCCAGCACACCCAGGAGAGCGGGTCTCCAGGGAGGCAGCCCCGGCACCTGTGAGCGCCTGTCCACTCTGAGTCCCTTCTCCCACAACTTCACGGCCACAGCGGAGGCCTGCCCTGGCCAGGCCCGGGGCTGGGGCACAGTGGCGAGGGAGGCCCCGTCAGGCGGCCGCGGGAACGGAGCGGGCGGGGCGCCCACGCCGGCCTCTGTCCCCTCAGGTGTTCACGGACCCCAGCAACCTGCAGCGGCACATCCGCTCCCAGCACGTGGGCGCGCGGGCGCACGCCTGCCCCGACTGCGGGAAGACCTTCGCCACGTCCTCGGGCCTCAAGCAGCACAAACACATCCACAGCACCGTCAAGCCCTTCATATGTGAGTCGACCCCGCCACCACCACCCCCCCCGGGCCCCGAGGGGGGCAGGGCCACGCCAGGGCACAGGGACCCCCTGCCAGGCCCATACATTGCACTGAGGCCGCCTTTCTGTGGCTTTGCTCATCGGACCCTCTATCTCGTGACTCGTCTCTCTGGCTTCGCCCTCACTTTCTCCTCCCGCCCTCTTGGGTCCCTCCCTGCCACTCAGCCCTGCAGTGGCTGAAGGTGGGGGCCGGCGGGGGTTGGGGGGAGGTCAGAGGGACTGGGCATCAGTCCTGGGTCTGGTGGCAGGAGCCAGCAGCCACCTTCCTTGCCCCGTCCCCTCCCTGAACTCACACTCCTCCCCTACTTGAGCCCTAGGAGTTATGATAATCCTGGTGACACTCACTGAGTCCCACAGGGGAACCACGCAGGTGGCAGGGCCCAGCGGGAAACTACAGGGTCCAGCGCTCACGTAGCGGGCCGCCACCGGAGGAGGCGGGGTCAGGCGGTGCAGACATTGCCCCCGTGACCGTGACAGGCGTGGGAGCCCGGGTGGGGACTTGCGGGGTTAGGAGGTTCCGTGGTGCTGGGAGGCCAGGATGATTGTGACAGGAGTCACTAGCAGGGACTGACAGCCCTGGGCCGAGGGGACACCTGCAGAGGGGAAGTCGGGACCACAGCTCCGAGCACAGAGGGCTTGAGGCCAGGGGTCTGCAGGCAAGTGAGTGGCGGGGGTCAGCAGGAGTAGGGGCAGAGGTCGCAAAGGGCCAAGTGCCAGGGGCCTCACCGGCCCGCCCCGGGAAGTGACCCCAAAGGCTCCCCTCTACCTCCCAGTGCAATAAGCAGTCGAGTTACACAATAAACCCTGCTGAGTCGCCACTCACACCCGCACTGAGCTGAGTCGCCGTTTCACAGGTGCCGCCTCGGGTGCCCTCACGAAGTCCTGGGAGCAGGGCCTGCACTGTTTCTAGGGACTGATCGGGAAGTGGAAGCGTCAGGACACGAGGGGCAGGCGTGCCGGGTGCTGCTGCAGAGCCCTGGTCCTAGTTCAAGGGCGCAGGCTCTGGCCCTGGGCTGCCTGGCCGGGCACATCTCAGGCTCCGTTGCATCAATGTCAGGAGGGGCGACCCTGGGCGCCTGGGGCGCTCTCACCCCTGTGGGTGAGACCCGTTCAGTGTGTGTGTGTGGCAGGGGGGTGGGCATACTGACCTGCCCGCAGCCCCCAGCCCAGGCTTCTCGCTGTCCTGCTAGAGACGGCTTGGACCCAGCACACCCGGGGCCCTCGCTGCCGGGCAGAGGGGACACAGAGAGAGTGGGCTTGCGGTGGGCCAGCCCGCAGGCGTCGTCTCTATGGATCAGGTCCTGCCCCAGGCCCGGGCGAGGGGACGTCTGAGTGGGGCTGTGAGCGGCTCCCACTCCGCCCCATGGTGGGGGCAGGTGACTCCTCTGCCAGGTCCTGGGAAGGAGTGACTGTGTGGCACTGGGGCTGGGGGCCATGACTTTGCAACTGGGACAGCGCCCCAGCATGTCCCGCCGGGAGGGGCGCATGTGAGCCCACCCTGCAGGGCTTGGAAACTGGAAATCTGCATACAGGTTCGTGAGGGGTGGCCTCGCTGGGCACGCACCCACCCCCCCAGAGCCTCCCCGCCCCCCCACAGCCCCGCAGCCCAGCCCCAAGCCCCCACCTCGGTGCCCGCACAGACCGAGCCGTCGAGGCTTCTGGGTGGTGTCTGCACACAAGGTCCGGGACACGTGTGTGTGTGTGAGGGGGAGTCTGAGCGCACAGGTGATGTCTCCTTGTGCACACTTTTCAGAAAAGGATCTTATCTAGAGTGAGTGCAAATGCGTGTGAGCGTGGGCATGAGTGTGCGTGTATGTGTCGGGTGCCTGACTGCATTTGCATGGGTGTGTCTGAGTGTGCATGTGTACACGTGCTTGGGCAGGTGTGTGTGAGTGTGGATGTGTACGTGTGAGTTGGTGACTGCATGTGGGGGGCGTCTGGGGGTGAGTGTGTGTGCATGGCTGTGTGGGGAGTGCACCCACACGCGTGCCCTTCACAAAAAAGAAACTGAGGCGACGAGGGTGAGCCAGGCCCCTCTGCCCCCCAGTAGGGCCCTGCAGGTGCCCTCCGTCAGGTGCGGGTCCCCACGTCCCGGGGTCTCGCTCGGCCTCTGGGCAGCTACTTCCCCTGCCGGCTCTGAGCCAGCTACCAGCCGTCCCAGGTCTGGGACCTCAGCATCCAGGGGGACTCACTGTAGCCCCCACGTTTCGGCAGGACCCCTCCATCGTGAGAGCGGGTGGGTGAGGACCGAGTCCCCCGAGCCCCCACGCCCAGGCACCTCTCCAAGCCTGGGATGACGGCAGCCTTGAGGCACTGACAGATGCCCCCCAGGGTCAGGACACAGCGAGGTATCACTGGTTCTGTGCAGCCGGGCCTGAGCTGAGAGGGGCCTTGCCTGCCCTCCCGCGCCAGGGCCAGGGGGCCCGAGGGTGTTTACAGACGCCCGTGGAGGCGCCTCGCCCCACAGCGGCCTCCCAGAGGGGCAGACTGGATTCGGTGAGGCAGCGCTCCCCCCAAGGCCTTGAGAACGCCTCGCCCTGCAGACAACCAGGAGGGCGCCGGGCTAATATAAACAGACTGGGATTAGAGAACGTGGTCATCTCAGGGCCCCGGCTCGCAGCTCACAGGGCATGACGTCCGGGCGGCGGGGATTGGTGGTGAGAAAGGCACACGCTGAACTCCGCGTTGCCACCGGGGCTGCATCGAGGACCCAAACTGTCAGGCAGGGAGAGACGCATGTGGGGTGGGGGTGGGGGTAGGGGGCTCCTCCCGCCGCTGCAGAAATGGGGGAGAAAGCGGGGCTGCTGATGCCCTGAGAGCTGCCGCAGGCCCTCGGGGAGATGGCTGAGACACCGTCCCCTGGGCTTCTGGGTCCTGGGCTGTGCCGGCTGGCGCTCCCCTGCCCTGTGAGAGCAGAGCCGGGCGCTGGCTCTTCACCCCAGTTTGGGGAGGGTCCACTTTTCCCTCACACGGACCCAGCCCCTCTCTGCAGGGCCCTGCTGGGCCTTTCCCCCACCCCCACCTCAAGCCACCCCCAAACAGCAACCACAGGAGCCCGGACTCCCCAGCTGAGAACCCCTGCACAGGCCGGCCGCCCGAGACCGCTCTCTCCTGGGTGCTGGGCACAGGGCCTGGGGACAGAGAGAGGGGACAGGGGAGCTGGGCACACTGTGAACTCGAGGACATGGGCCATCTGTGGGGCGGTCAGGGGACCCCTTACACCACGGAGTGGCAGCACAGGCGTGGCCAGGAAGGGGGCTGGGGGCTCAGGCCAGCCGGCACAGCAGCCTGCACGGCTGGGTGACCTTGCCACAGGAGCCGTTCGGAGGACCTCGGCCCCCACGGCACAGACACTCAGGCAGGAGGGTGCCAGCAGCGGCGCCCCACTTCCCAAAGGGGGTTGGGGCCTGTCCGCGCTTCACGGGGGCCACAGGGCATCACTGGTCCTCGTCAGCTTGTGCTGGTGACCAGAGGCCAGTCCTAGGGTGGTGTGTACATGCACACACGTGTGTGCGTGGACATGTGTATGCAGGCACACACATGCAGACATGCACACACGCTCAAGCACATGGGCGGTGTGCGACAGACACGTGCACAAATCTGTGTGCATGTCACACGTGTGCATGTGTCACATGACACTTTGCACATGCATCTACACGCGTGCGTGCACGGACGCACGTACAGGCTCGCACAGGAGCGCTGGCCGCTCCGATCCCCGGTCAGAGGTGCCCCGGCCCCTCGCCGCCCGCCGGCGTTTCCCGGTAATTCCATAGCGTGCCCGTCTGCTCTCTGCTGGCCTTTTAGGTGAGGTCTGCCACAAGTCCTACACGCAGTTCTCCAACCTGTGCCGCCACAAGCGGATGCACGCGGACTGCCGCACGCAGATCAAGTGCAAGGACTGCGGGCAGATGTTCAGCACTACCTCCTCCCTCAACAAGCATCGGCGCTTCTGCGAGGGCAAGAACCATTACACGCCGGGCGGCATCTTCTCCCCGGGCCTGCCCTTGACCCCCAGCCCCCTGATGGACAAGGCGAAGCCGCCCCCCAACCTCAACCACGCCGGCCTGGGCTTTGGCGAGTACTTCCCCTCCAGGCCGCACCCGGGCAGCCTGCCCTTCTCCGCCGCCCCGCCAGCCTTTCCCGCGCTCACTCCCGGCTTCCCCGGCATCTTTCCGCCTTCCCTGTACCCCCGACCACCTCTGCTACCTCCCACGCCGTTGCTCAAGAGCCCCCTGACCCACACCCAGGACGCCAAGCTCCCCAGCCCCCTGGGGAACCCGGCCCTGCCCCTGGTCTCCGCCGTGGGCAGCAGTGGACAGGGCGCCGGGGCCGCCCCGGGGCCCGAGGACAAGTTCGAGAGTCGCCTGGAGGACACGTACCCTGAGAAGCTCACGACTCGGGGCAGCGACCTGTCGGACGGCAGCGACTTCGAGGACGTCAACACCACAACCGGGACGGACCTGGACTCCACCTCGGGCTCGGGCTCGGACCTGGACAGCGACGTGGAGAGCGACCACGACAAGGCCAAGGCCAAGAGCAAGGCGACCGAGGGCAAGCCCCACCTCGGGGCCAGCGCGGCGCCACCAGGAGCCCCCAACAGCGTGGGCGAGGTGCCCGTCTTCTACGCCCAGCACTCCTTCTTCCCGCCGCCCGACGAGCAGCTGCTGGCCGCGTCCGGGGCCGCGGGCGACTCCATCAAGGCCATCGCCTCCATCGCGGAGAAGTACTTCGGGCCGGGCCTCATGGGGGTGCAGGAGAAGCGGCTGGGCGCGCTTCCCTACCCTTCAGTGTTCCCGTTCCAGTTCCTGCCCGACTTCCCCCACGCCCTCTACCCCCTGGCGGACCGCACCCTCGCCCACAGCCTGCTGGTCAAGGCCGAGCCAAAGTCGCCCCGGGACGCCCTCAAGGGGGGCGGCCCCAGTGCCGAGTCCCCCTTCGACCTCACCACCAAACCCAAAGAGGCGAAGCCCCTCCTGCCGGCGCCCACGGCAGCCCTGGTGCCGGGCGAGGAGCAGCCGCTGGACCTTAGCATCGGCAGCCGCGTCCGCGCCAGCCAGAGCGGCGGCGGGCGCGAGCCCCGCAAGAACCACATCTACGGGGAGCGCAAGCCGGGGGCCGGCGAGGGGCTGCCCAAGGCCTGCCCCGCGCAGCTGCCCCAGCAGCCCCCGCTGCACTACGCCAAGCCGTCGCCCTTCTTCATGGACCCTATCTACAGGTATCCACACGCCCTGTCCCACGCTCTCCCGGGGCCTGCAGCGGGGCGGGTGGGCGCAGCCCGCAGGGCCAGGCTCTCGGGCCCCTCCCCTCCCCCCGCACAGGGCCGTCCCTCTGTCTCATCTGGGCCAGGAGCCCGCACCTGGCATTCCTGGGCTGGGCGCCTGGCCGGGCCACAGTAGGAGGGCAGGGCCCCGTCTCCTGGCTGCTCGAGGTTCCCTTTTCCTGGCAGCCACTGGGCTACCCCCTGGGCTGACTGAGCCCCTCCCAAACCCCCGCCGCCAGCCCCACGCCGGGCCCCCTTCTGTCTCCAGTGGTCACCTCTGCACCAGCTCTGCCTCCCACAAAACTTGGATGCTCTCTATCTCCTCTGCCTTTTTCCTCTGCACAGCCGCAGCCGGCTGTTCCTAGTGACTCAGGGAAGCCGGAGAAGGAGCCCCTGTCCCCGCAGGGGAGAAGGGAAAGGAGGGAGGAAAGAGGAAGCTTTGGAGGGTTTGCAGAAAGTCAGTATCCCTTTACTTGGGTAGCCTGCCCCGGGAGGGGCCAGCTTAACCCCTGTGCCCAGTTTCTGGGGAGCCTTTGATCGGTGGGTTTGCTAGGCGGGAGGGGGCTGACCCCCACCAGGTGTGTCCCAGGGAGCTGGCCGGCTGGGCCCTGAGGAGAGGGCTGTGCCCGTGGGCGGGTGGGGAGGGACCCTGGAGTGGGGGCAGCAGGCCGACGCAGGCCCCACCCCGAGTGCGGAGGCCCGTGTGCCCACGCGTGTACACGCACGCACTGGAGCAAGTGAGCATGTGGCCACCCTGAGGGCGGGCCAGAGCCTGGGATGGGCCTGCGGCGGGTGAGGCCGCAGCTGCTGAGGGGCATGTGGGAGAAAGGAGACCGGTCAGGCAGAGGTGCCAGCGAGGGGAGGGTGGGTGAATGCGCCCACCTGGGCCCCCCTTTGCCAGCCTGGCGGGCTGGCCACCACAGGGCAGAGGTCAACAAAAAGGCAGGAGGAGAGATGGGGACTCGCCATGCGGGTCCCCGTGGGAGGCTGAGTCAGGCACCATGCTCCTGCCCCGGCGGGGGCCTTGGTCCAGCCCTCAGCCAGTGTCCACAGCCCCCCACAGAGTGACGTCATTCCTGCGGGAGCCCAGGGGTCCCACAGCAATCCTGAGTCAGTTCCCTTCTTCTCCCCCTGGACCGGGCTGGGGTTTCACAAAGTCACCTGCGAGGGGCCAGCCCGGTGGTCTGCTGGCACTCAGCCCCCTCTCCCATGACTGTCCCCTGTCCTGCTGCGGCCAGTGTCCCAGCCGGTCCCCTGGAGGGCGGAGTCCCATGTAAAAGCGCTGGGAGTGCGGCACCAAGCGAGGCCCCTGCAGGAGCCAAGCAGGAGCCGCTGGGCCGGAACTTGTGCCAAGGGGCTGCGTCTGCGGGGGCGGGGCAGGGCTCCCCCAGGCCGAGGCTGAACGTCAGTCCTGCGGGAGGCTGGGGCAGGCGAGGCCGGAAGCGGTGAGAGGACTTCAGATGGGGGGACCACTGGATGTGCCCTGGCCACCTCCGCTTATCCCACGACTAACAAAGTTGTCAGTGGCGTTAGGCCACGAGTTTTGGGTAGGACCCTGCCTGGCTTCGTGAGGAGGCTCTGGTGACTTCCCCAGTGAGGCCGAGCACCTCACACCAAGGGCTGGGGGGACAGGGAAGTCGGGGTGTCGGTGGCAGCTTCCCCGTTCTGCGGTGACAAGCCAGGGACCGACCCCGGGCAGGGCTGGTGCACTGGGGCCACAGGAAGGGCCCCAGGCTCTAGCGTTGGTGTTCACACGCCCGGCGCCCGGAGCTGGCAGGGGCCTGGGGACACCAGGGAGACTCGGAGGGGCCCGGAGCTGGGCCTGGGAAGGGCAGGGCGTGGAGTGAGGGCTCCTCGGGCAGCTGGGGGCTCTCGGAAGCAGTGGGTTGGCCGGGTCACAGATGTCCCCGGGCTGTGGGGTGAGATGATCATCTGAGGGCCATGGACGCAGGTCCACCATGACGAAGCCCCCACCTCGCAACCCTTGGGGCCAGGCAGGGGCCCGGCGGGGCCACCGGGGGGGTACGTAACCCTTTGTGTTGCTGTCCAGCAGGGTGGAGAAGCGGAAGGTGCCGGACCCCGTGGGGGTCCTGAAGGACAAGCTCCTGCGGCCGCCCCCTCTGCTCTTCCACCCCCAGGTGAGACCTGCGCCTGGGCCTCAGCTGCAGGGAGGGAACCACAGCCCGGGGCAGACACACCTTCCCCACCTGCCAGTTAGATGCCCTGGGCTCTCCCCTGCAGACTCCATGAGTCACCGCCAGGAGGAGTGAGGAAGGAGGCTGGTCCTCTGAGTTGGCAGCACTGTGGGTCCCTCGGAAGCATCTGAGGTCCCCCACCCACAGGGGCCACCGGCCCCTGACTCGGGCTGTAGGAGGGGAATGACCCTCAGCCTCAGGGGGGCGGTGGGCAGAGCTCTGAGGGAACGGATCCACGAATTCTGAATGTAAGAGGAAAGAGAGGAGACACAGCAGGGGGTGTAGATGGGTGGGGGGCAGGCCTTTCTGGGGCACGCAGGTCGTGAGGGTGCCTGGGTGGACAGACCAGGAAGGGGCAGCCCGTGTGTGTGGAGAGGGCAGAGTAGGCCCAAGGAGGCCGGATGGGGGACAAGCGGAGGGTCCCGGGAGGTGGGGGCAAGAGGGGTGCCCTCCCTGGCAGCTGGAGAGGGTGGCGAGGCTGTGGTCCAGACCAGAGCTTGGGTCTGGGCAGGGGAACACCCACATGCCACCCTGCCAGGTCTGCAGGGGGCGGGCACAGAGAGGCCACAGGGCCGGGCAGAGTCTCCCAGTCCCCTGCCTGTATACTCGCCAGTCCCGCTGCGTGGGGCCCGGGCCCCCAGAACCACAGGCCCCTCCCCCTGGCCCGGAGGTCCAGGCGACTGAACCATGGTGCGGGTCGGACCCGGACCCCAGACGGGGCGTTGTTCTCCGTCTGGGAGCCCCCGCCTCGGACACACGGGCCAGGCTGTGAGACCTTCGCCCTGCCCGGGCTCACAGCTAAACTTAGAGCCTTCCATTGTTTGGCCGGGCTGAGGAGGTTGGTTCGTAACTTCCCCCAATTTTCTTCAGAACAGGCTGGAAAAAGCTGACAAGCCAGCAGGCACATCCTGTGTTTGTGTTTGCGGGAGGGCCGGGCCCTCTGATTGGGCCCGCCGCGGGGCCCCCGCAGGGCCCACCCAGGCCTGAGGAAGAGGCACCAGGCCGGGGGACCATTGTCCCTCCTGTCTGCTGGGCCTGTCACCCTGCTTCCCCCCCGTGGGCCAGGGCTGGGTGGCGGAGTGACGGGAGATGCCCAGGAAGTCACCTAACTCACTGGCCTGACCTGGGTAACTGATGCTCACGAAGGGCAGGGCCAGCCCCTGCAGCCGGATCCAGGCAGGGCCTTCCGCCTCTGAGGCCCGATGTGCAGGTGGGCCGCCCCCAGGGTACGGGGCGGGGAGGTCCTGCCAGGCCGTGGACCCTCCCGCCTCTGGGGGGCCTGAGGAGGCTGGGTCGTGGAGAGTTCCGGAGCCTTCCAAGACCGTGGCTAAAACCAAGACCCACAGCGGGTGGGCAGCAGTCTGCGTTCCAGGGGCCTCACTGTCCACTGCAGGCCAGTGGGAGGCGGGACAGCCCCTGAGGGCGCAGCTCCCGTCTGTCCCTCGGGGGCTCGAGAAGGCAGCCTGGAGCCTTGCGGGGTCCCCTCGCCACCTGGGCAGAGCTGGCAGCCCAGGTCACAGGTGGCCTGGGCTCTAATGGGCAGGTACCATTGTCCATTCATTAACTGCTTCCTGGGTGTTTTATTGTAACCAGTTGGTTGACCCCACCTCACACGCGGAGGGGCTCCGGCCGTCACAGAAGCCCTTCCCATTCAGGCCCCACCCAGCCTCTGATAGGGCCCAGCTCACAGTGGGCACCCTCGGGGCAGCCCCTCCACCTGGGGAGGGCGCTACCGAGGCCTCTGCCGCCCCATCCTCCCCTCCCCTCTCCTGTCCCCGAGACCCCAGGACTCAGGCAGCAGGCACAGTCTGATCATAACTCTGCCCCTACGTGGGAATGACCAAGGCCATGCTCCCTTCTTCCTAGCAGGCCCTTGACATCTCCAAGGAGCAGAGAGGCAGCTCCCTTTGGCCACAGCACCGTGTCCTGTGCCTTGTGACAATGGCACTCCCACCTCCACCATTCAGTTGGTGAAGTCTGGACTCGGGCTGTTGAATTCTAGTAGTTTGCCTGCAATTATGACCTGCTGCCACTAGGTGGTGGTGGTGCCTCTGGCAGTGATCCATGTCATAACCTGAGATTCAGGTAGCTGTCTCAATTTTCCAAGACTCAAAACAAAACAAAACAAAACAAAATAGATATAATTCTGTCTTTAACCCAAACTAGACATGGAGGAGGGCTGGCCTGGGGTCAAGCCAGCGGGGTGTCGCTGGCCCAACAGGAGGGGATGTGGACAGCCAAGGGCCCACCTCACTGTGTCCCTGACCCCAGAGGGGGGCTGGCGCTGAAGGCTGGTTCCAGCTCCCACAGGCTGGACCCTAGACTGTCCCAGGGACCCCGGGGGGACGAGCATGGCTGGCCAAAGACGGCGGAAGAACCCTCCCAGGGGCCCAGAGGACGCCCGATATCTGTCCCAGTGACATGCCGAGAGCCCACAGGGCCTTCCTGCCCTGGCCTGGCCCACGGAAGTGCTGCCACGGACACCCCTCCGATGCCCACGAGGGGGGCCTCGCTCTTTGAGAGAGGGGGTGGCTCAGGGGTGTCTCCCCGCCCCTCCCGTTCTCGTGCCAGCAGATGTCAGCCATCGAGACGATGACAGAGAAGCTGGAGAGCTTCGCGGCCATGAAGGCGGACTCTGGCGGTGCCCTCCAGCCCCTGCCCCACCACCCCTTCAACTTCCGGTCCCCGCCCCCGACGCTGTCCGACCCCATCCTCAGGAAGGGCAAGGAGCGGTACACCTGCAGGTGAGCCCTTCCAGGGGAACCCAGGCACCCAGTACAGCACAGTAGCGATAAATGGTCATGACCATGCAAAACAGGGGTGTGGGGCTGGACCTCCCTCCGCCTCCACGGGGCTATGTCCATATGAGCTCAAGAACTGCACCTTGGCCTGGCCAGCCGGAGCTTGAAGGCCCGAAGCCAGGGCTGCTGGTCGGTGTATGACTGCCGTGCTGGACGGGGACCGAAACCTCAGCTTTGGGGAGAGACCGCTGTGTCTGTCCCCAGCTGCCCCTGCCCAGCTAAGCCAGTCTCAGCCGGCTCAGCACCCCTGGACTCCAGGGAGGAGAGGATGCTGAGGAGGGGCACGGCTCAACAGGGCCTGGAAGGACAGTCCCTCTGCAAAGCTTAGCCGGGCCCAGGGGCAGCAGGAGACCCCGAAACCCAGGGTGTGTCGCCGGCCGCCTGCCCCAGGTGGAGGACCTCGGGGACTAGATGCCGCATTGGCGTGGGGTGGGAGCTGTGCCAGCGAGACTCGGCCTGACAATTTCCCCCGCCCCGCCAGGTACTGCGGGAAGATCTTCCCCCGGTCTGCAAACCTCACGAGACACCTGAGGACCCACACCGGGGAGCAGCCGTACAGGTAGGAGCCCGCCCAGCCTGGGATGGGCGGCCTCGGCAGCCGGTGGGAGCCAGCACGCGCTCCCTGTCACTCCTTGGGCCCCTCCCCCCGACCCGCTGCCATCCTGTGCCCTGCGATGTCACGAAGATTGGGCAGCAGGTGCCCGGCAGGCCTCTGGAAACCTCCCGCCAGCCGGAGGAGGGTGATGCCCGGAGCAGTCCTCTCCCCTGCACTGGGGTGTCCCCTGGGACAGGGGCTCAGAGCAGGGTCAGGCAGAAGCCAGGGTCCCGCAGGTGGCCTGTCGCAGAAGCCTTGGCTGCTCCCATTGGTGGCCCTGGCAGACCTAACCCCGGGCGGTGGACCAGGCGGTGCCTAAGGTGGGGTGGACAGGGGACAGGAGCACCGGGCAAATGCAGGTCTCAGCCCAGGCTTGGGGCGCCTGGGGGATTCGCTCGGCCCCCCTAGACAGCAGCCGTGTGTCTGTTCCCCACCTCACCCCCAGTGCCGGGGCGGCCACAGAGGCCATTGGGGGTGGGAGACCACTGCATTTCTCATTCACAACGAGGAGACGTGATCCCCATTTCAAAGACTTGGAACCTGCAGCTCAGAGAGACCCATGACTGGCCGGGTTTTCCCACTCAGTGTCGCTCTAGCTTACCTGTCTGGCCCTGTTCCCGTGGTCCCTGGGGTCTCCACGGGGCACAGGAGGGGCTGAGGGTGACCCCTGGCTTTCAGAAACCCTGCTGGGGAGGGGCCCGGCAGTGGACGTTTCAGATGAGGCGCACCGGGGAGACAGTGGCTTAGGTGCCAAGATGCCGTCCTGGGAAGTGGCTGGAGAAGAGCAGCCACGGGGGGTGAGGGGCCTGGCGTGGTTTCCAGTTGGTGACATGAGTCCCATACCTGGCCACGCTGAGCTTGGAGTCACCCACTGGCCCTAGAGACTCTGTGTGTGTGTGTGTTTGTCCCCAACCTTGGGGAGGGTGGCCACACGAGGCCCCTGCAGCTGTCGTGGTCCCCTACACCCATCTGAGACATAAAGAACATCCCCCCCCCCACAGCCTGTCCTGGCAGGATAAACGACCGCTCACACTCCTTACCACTGACTGGTCTGCTCCGCACCCCAGCGCCCCCGGCACATGGGCCTCCCTCCCCCCAAAAGTGAATGACCACACAGGCGGGCCCCCGCAGCGGGTTTGGCCCGCTCCCCGCCCGCCGTGTGTAGTTTCTGGAACGAGAGCCAACTTCTGGACAGCGTTCCGCGGAAGAGCCCCCAGGGTCCGGCGTGTTTATAGAAAAATGTGATTATCATTGATTTCTTTTGTTCTCCCCAATCCGCGAGGCTCAGCCTACGTAACGATGATTTGCTCTGAGAGTTTGCCCGGCAAACCCGGACTCTGGCTCCACGTGGCCCTGTGAGGAGGAGAGGCCTCTGGGGTGTGACTCCCGGTGACGTCACCAGACGCCCGGCCGACTTTGATCATTGGCAGGAATCAAGTTGGAAAAGGGAAATGCGCACATTTCGTCCGCAGAAACCCACCCAGGAGGGGGCCCCCCACCCCAGGAGGTTGATGAAACCGCCCGCCCACTGCCTGCTTGCGTGAGCAGTGCCCACCCGGGCCAGCACATGCTGCTGCGTGGGCGCCCCCAGACAAGCGGGCTTCTCCGGGGCTGCCCGGTCACCCGATGACGGGGGCTGCCTGGGGTCACCTAAGAGCACTCAGAAAGTGTCCCCAAGCCTGTCACTCCCTGAGAAGGAAAGACACTTCAGAGTGACTGACACGCTTGCTGGGAGACAGGTTGAACCTCAGGCCGCCGGCTCCTCCGGGCCCGACGTGAAGCGGGAGGGGGACAGTGAGCAGTCAGAGCTGGTTTCTCACTGTGCTGGCGAGCAGGGCCGGCCGAGAGGAGGTCAGGGGGAGATGCTGAACGAGGACTAAGGGGCGTCGCTGTCTCCGTCCATCCCGACGGCCATGCTTGGGGGCCTTCAGGGGCGAGAGTCATGCAGTGGGGCCTCAGGCCTCCACGAGCAGGGTCCTGGTGGCACCTGGGATGCCCACCCTGGGACTCAGGGACTCTCGCCTCTCTGTCTTTGCTCCGGCCTGTCTGGGGCTCCCAAGCTGCCATTTTTTTAAGCCAGACGCCTGCACTGGGCCCATGCCTGTCTGCTTCCTCTGTCCGTTTTATTTTTAGGGCTGGTGTCAAAATCTCTCTTTCTGTCTTCCTTTGCTTTTACAATTCCCAACAGCAACCTCCCTGTGATGATGTGGTCCCAGAGAGGACACTGCCCGGGGCCATTCGCCATCCCCTGCCCCTTGCAGCGCCCACTGTGGCCAGCTTCCCTAGGGTGGCAGCAGCGGTGGTCGCAGCAGGAGGCTGGAGGGAGGGCTTTGCACGCGCCTGCTCTCCGAGCCCGCGCACCGGCTCCTGCACAATCCGTCTCTGACCCAGAACCTGCTGCGGCAAGTTCGCTCAGCTGCCCTTGGGGGGGGGGGGGGCATCGAAAGGAGAAGCAGAGGAACGCTGTGCGTGAGCACAGCTCAGCCAGAAACACCTGCTGGGTGGACAGATGGTGAAGGCCCAGGCCTGGGCTGCGGCCAGCTTGGCCTTGCCCTTGGTCCTTCCCGAGCGACCCCCCTGAGGAGTAGGGCCATAGTCTGGGGGCCTGAGGTCATCAGGGCAGAGGGGATAGTGTCCCTGGAGAAGTGCTGATGACCAAGATCACTTGTGCGTGCCCATGCACATGTATGCACACATCACACACACCACACATGTGCACATACCCACACTGCACCTACCGCATGTGTACATGAGCACGTGTGTGCACATGATTGCATGATCACACGCTAACCCATGTACTCTTGTGTGTGGCCCATATGTACACCTGTTTGTGGACACACACATGCACACTAACATGTGTACTCAGTGCGCGCACACCTGCACACACCCACATGTGGAGTGCACACTGACCTGTACACACCGTGTGCACACGCACCAATGTATGTGCTCCATGCACACCCACACTGCACACCTGCATGCAAATGAGCATGTACACACATATGCACACTAACGTCTCCTGTGTGTGTGCTCCCCTGCCCACATGCATATACACGTGTGTGCGACTCCAGCGAGGCACACAGAATGGGAGGGAGCGTATTAGCGGGCAGTCACTGGCTCTGCCAGGACCCCTGCCACCAGGAGGAGGCCACGGGGGCGGCCGCAGAGCCCGGGTCGCAGGCTCCTTCGGGTCCCTCGGCTCTCTGGGTCTCCCTATTTCTGGCTTCTCCACGCCTGAATCGCTGAGCCCCGGCTCCTGCTCCCCCGGCGTGGGGTCCTGACAGTGGCCGTGCCGTGCCCTGCACAAGCGTCCCACACCTGCGGGGGCCTCGTCACATGGCAGGCATCTCTGGTTGTTCATCTTGTCTATTTGTTCAGATAAACCAGGGTCTCAAGAGAACCTTCTGCAGATGTGACAGAAGCCTTGGCAGGAAGGGGCATCTCCTAACCTTCCCGAGTGCGTCCGGCAGGCTGGAGGGCTCACAGATGAACCGAGCCCGTGGGCTGGCCACCCCCATGCCACAGGGGACACTGTGGTCATTTGTAGTCCCTGTAGAGGAAGCCGCCTGACGGAAGCAAGGCCAGGGAGCCACTGTGTCTCCAGGAGCATCCGGGGCTGCCCCCACACCCCCATTCATGGATTGGCATGCTCAGGCCCCCGGAGAGGGGTCCAGCCCCGGGACCACTAAGACAAGACCCTGCTCTCCTCACTCTCCTGCACCAGGCAGGGTCTCTGCAGGGAGGACTGTTGCAGGGAGCCTGCCTGAGCATCTTTCCACGGTGACATGCTGCCCCCTTGAGGCTGCTGGGAGCATGTCGCCCTCCAGGCGGACCTGGCAGGGGGCAGAGACACGGGAGAACTCTGGGCGTGGGAGGACTCGGGGCACGGGGTCCTGCCCGGCCCACGTGGAGCCCCTCTGAGGCCCGGGCGGGTGTCTTGCAGGTGTAAGTACTGCGACCGGTCCTTCAGCATCTCCTCCAACCTGCAGCGGCACGTCCGCAACATCCACAACAAGGAGAAGCCCTTCAAGTGCCACCTGTGCAGCCGCTGCTTCGGGCAGCAGACCAACCTGGACAGGCACCTCAAGAAGCACGAGCACGAGCACGCGCCAGGTGGGGCTGCCACGCCCACCCCCCACCCAGCGGGGCCAGACCACCACGCTGGGGGCGCAGGCGCGGGCAGGCGGGGGCGGGGACTGGAGAGACTGGGCTGATGGGAAAGAAGTGAGAGGGACCAGCGAGGGGAAGAGCAGGGAGGGGCGGGGACAGGCAAGAACTGGCAGGAACAGGCGGGGAGGGGAGCAGCCCAGCGGAGGTCCCCCCTCTGACGCCCCGTCCATGCAGTGAGCCAGCACTCCGGGGTCCTCACGAACCACCTGGGGACCAGCGCCTCCTCCCCCACCTCCGAGTCGGACACCCACGCACTTTTAGATGAGAAAGAAGACTCCTATTTCTCTGAAATCAGAAACTTTATTGCCAACAGCGAGATGAACCAAGCCTCAGCTCGAACAGACAAAAGGTAAGACACTCAGCCCTGCGGGGCTGCAGGGCTCTGAGCATGCGCAGCCGCGCTTTGTGGCTGGGCCTGGAGCAGGCCCACCCGCCCTGCGCCTGCCCCCAGGGGCACCTGGATGGGGACCAGGGTCCCACAGCAGAAGGGGAAGCCCACGGGCTACACAGCTGACACCTAGTCTGCCAGGATCGGCTGCCTGGAAGCTGGGGGAGTGTCAGCAAGGGCTCCCCTTCCTGCCTCAGTTTCTCCATCTGGATGAGGTGCCGATGCAGGTTCGCACCTACGGCAGCACCAGGCGTGCGGGCCTCCTGGCAGCTGGTGCAGCTCGGCCTTGACGAGGGCCCCCGCCACGGTCCTGCCAGCCTCTGAGTCACCAGGTTTCCAAACGAGAGTGGTGCCCCTTTACAAACACACGCACACCAGCACCCTCAGAAATACAGCAGGATTGAGATGCAAGAAGGAGGAGGAGGGCATTCTGTGCCATCTCGGGTCACAGGGCTACTGCCCCCAGGAGGACACGCCAGGCCCCGGGACGGGCTCCCTTTCGGAGAAAGCCAGTGCCAGACCCGGGGTCAGACTCCAGGGCGCCCGAGGGGTGCGAGCCCCTGATTCTGCAGAGGGGAAACTGGGGCCCAGAGGAGTGGGTGCCTTGCAGCCTGCATGCTGGCCACAGGTGGGCTGTAGCCATGTAGTCCTCGGGGCCCGGACCCCTCCCCGTCCACTCCAGCAGGCGAGGAGCATCCCCAGAAGGCAGATTCTCCAGAGCCTGTCAGTCCCTCTGGGCAGCTGCGTGTTCCTGGTGACCAGTGCTCTGGGCGCAGGGCAGGGACACAGGGAAGGCGTCACACTCTGCATCCCCCACTAGTGAGCCTGCGGGGTTCAGGCAGCGTGGGCTCCGCCTTCAGAGGAAGTCCCAGGCCGGAGCGCCCAGGTGCCAGGTTACATCCAAGCCACCACCCCCTGCCTGGCACCCTGTGCCCAGGGCAAAGCCACACGGCAGGGGTGTACAGCCCATCTTCTCCCAGGGGCACCAGGGAGTCTCCCCAAGTCCGGTGGCAGGCTGGCTGTCAGCCATGAGGAAGACACTGCAGGAGGTCCACCAGGGCCGGGGGACAGTGCCACCCTGTCCCCTGACCTTTGCCTGTGGCGTTTCTGCCAGGGGAGGGGACCGAGTGACACTCAGACAGGGGAGGCTGCCCCAAGTCCCCCGGAGAGTGGGGCCCTTGGGTGGCCCATCCTGCTGAGGCCTGCTCCAGGGACCCCAGGGACCCCAGGGACCTGGCAGGGCACCCACAGCACTGGTGGAAGTGGGCACCACGGTCTCAGTTGACTTATGTCACAGACAGTGTGTGTGCGAGGCTGGGGCTCTGGCAGCTCCGTCTGGGCCGGGTCACCACTGTCGATTCTCATTCAGTCCTTTCCCTCGACCATAGGGGGGTCCAGGGCCCACCAGGCTTCCCGGCCTCACAGCCCCTGAAACCCGAGGGCTAAAGTGTGTCCCTGCCAAACCTGTGTGGTGGAGTCCTGGCCCCCAGGACCCCAGAATGGGACCTTATTTGGGAAGATGTGGTCACACTGGAGCTGGGTGACCCCGACGCCGCATGACTGGGTCCTTAGGGGACATTTGAACGCAGACACACACACAGGGAGAACACTGCGTGAAGACAAGCAGAGGTGGGCTGAGGGGTCTATAAGCCGGGGGACGTCCAGGAGGCCAGCAGCCACCAGCCACCAGGAGCTGGGGCCGGCCTGGGATGGGCTGGCCCTCCCGACCTCAAAGGGTCCAGCCCCATGATGCCTGGATCTTGGACTGCATCTCGGGAACTGGGAGCGGAGACCCTGCTGTCGAAGCCCCTGTGTGGGCCGTGTGTTGGCTGTCCTGGGACACGGTGCCCCCCGGGCAGCTGTTTGGAGGCCTGAGCCCCCATCCCAGGTCCACTCTGTCAGAAGCCACTGCCAGCCGCTGGGCCCCACGCTCAGCCTGGCAGGCACCCTCCCCAAGTGCCCGCCTGGCGCAGGGCTCCTACCAATGGACTGTGTTGGGGGGGGGTGTCACACACAGATGAAGTGGGAGGGGCCCTGTGTCCAGGCAGGGGGCTCACACAGGAAGCGGCTCCGGTTCAATTAAAGGCCACGCAAGGCTATTGCCAAACATCACCCACGTCCCGGCCACCCCACCTGCTCACCTGCTCCTCGGCACGGAGGGGTGCTCTCAGGTCACCGCAAGGGCGCAGGCTCCGAGAGGCCCAGACCCTCCTGACCAGGGTCCCCAGCCCAGTGTCCCTGCACAAGGACAAGCCCTGGACACTGGAGGAGACGCCTGCCCTGCCGATGCCGAGAGAAGGCCCTGCGTCCCCACTGAGCACAGTGGGCAGCCCCCCACGGGCTGTGTGAGGTTGGAGAGGAACAAGATCTGGGGCTTGGACGAAAACCAGGGTTCCAGTGGGAGCTCGGCGAGTGAGTGCTTGCATGGACACCTGCCCGGGGGGCCCTCACACCCAGCCCACCCACCACAGACCTGCTGATGAATAACGCTCATGCCAGAAGTGATTTCTGAAGGATGCGGAGTGGCCACACCCACCGGGCACACTTCCTCTGCCTTTTAATGACAAGAACCCAGAGCAAGGGGGTCTCACCTGGGCCGCAGGGACCCTGAGGGACCTGCCAACCAAGGACCTGGTCTCGGAGACAAGCCTGTCTTGGAGGGTCCTCAGTTGACGGCAGCCCGGCCCGCCCTCTGCAGAGCCCCAGGCCCTCCAGGTGCCGAGGCAGCTGCTTGCCCTGGGCTGTCCCAGGGTCCCTGAGTCCTCCAGGCTGGCCGGAGGAGCTGTACCCATCAGGGCCGGGCCGGCGGATGGCCCTAAGACGTCCACTGTGCAGTGCCCAGCCCTGGCTCCAGCCCAGGACCCCTTCCCCGCCCAGCTGGGCACAGTGCCCCTAACGCGCTGACCATGTGGCCCGGTGTCCACTGTGGCGTCACGGAGCCCTGCCTGCCCCCCACCATGTGCTTGGCCGGCCTCCTCCTCTGCCCGGATCACTCGCCCCACAGGGACAAGCTGTGGCCAAGGGCAGGGACAGCCCAGGACCACAGCTTGGGGCTTTTGTGACCACAAAGGCAGGCTCTCTTCGTGGGAGCTGGGAGGGCGGGGGGCTGTCGGGGACGCGCCGACTACAGCCGAGTCGCCAGCCTTCGGGGGCCCATGGCCGACTCCCACCCTGTCGCTTCAGGCCAGAAGTCCAGGAGCTGGACGGCACGCCGCAGTGTCCGGGCCTGGCCGGCGGGAAGCCGGAGGATGGGGAGGAGGAAGAGGAGGAGGAGCTGGAGGAGGAGGAAGAGGACAGCCTGGCGGGGAAGTCCCCAGAGGACCGCCCGTCCCTCACGCCTGAGCCCCAGGGCGCCTACGAGGACGAGGAGGATGAGGAGCCGCCCACGTCGCTGGCCGTGGGCTTTGACCACACCCGAAGGTGGGTGCCGGCCTCTGTGAGCCACAGCAGCTGAGCACTCGGGGGGCCCGGCCCTTGAGCGACCCAGGCGTCAGGGGGTGGCTCAGGCTGGAACCAGCAGGGGACCAGCCATCCTCCCTGCCCTTGGGCAGTTCCGTCGGGGGAGGCCCCGGCCTGGGGAAGCAGCCAGGGCCCAGCCACTCAGACCTGCACGTGTGTGTGCGTGCGCGCATGCCCACAGGCACATCTGGAAGCCTGGGAGCAGCGTGGGAGGGGAAGGCGTAGGGTGAGCTGGCCCCGGACCCCCAGGCAGAACCACACTGCCCGTCAGTCTGGGGAGTGACGCCCCAGCCTCCCAACAGGCCCTGGCACAGGGCCGCACCCCCACAGCTTTGGAAGCTGTGCTGGCTGGAGACGCTCCCACATCCCGAGTGCTGGCTGCCTCAGCAGGGACAGTGCCGGCTTTCTGAGAGCCGCTGCGGACCCCCCTTGGAGAGAGCTGTTCCCCCCACCCCGGGACAGGGGCCCTCAGGCCCCTCTGAGGCCGCCCAGCGTCTTGGGGAACCAAGGCCTCCCCTCTCTGGTCTTCTCCCTGGGGGTCTGGGCGCCCCGCCTGTTGCCTGGGACCCGTGTGCTCATACTGACCCCCGAGGTGCTCTGTCGTCCGTGTCCTGCATCCGTGTGGCTTCTGTCCTAGTGTCCGCGTGTCTGTGTGTCTGTCTCCTTGTGCATGTGGCTGGTGGAGACGCTGCGGCATGCATGCGGGCGTCCGCGAGGCGGCCGAGGCGGCCGGGCTGACCGCAGGCGTCTCCCGGTCGTTGGTGCAGGTGTGTTGAGCCGCAGCGAGCAGGCGGTCCGTTGGCTCTGGAGCCGGTGCCGACCTTTGGGAAGGGGCTCGACCTGCGCAGAGCAGCGGAGGAAGCTTTTGAAGTTAAAGATGTCCTTAATTCCGCCTTAGACTCTGAGGCCCTAAAACAGACCCTGTACAGGCAGGCTAAGAACCAGGTAGGTGCCCGCAGAGCCCGCCCTGCCTGCCCCACCAGGCCGGACGGCAGGGACAGCCTCTCCTCACTGGCCCTCCCGTGCTCATTGCCTCAGCTAGAGGGACGCCCCAGGGACTGCCACTTCCCTGCCAGCAGGAATGCGGCAGGGAGAGGCTGAGAGCAGGTGGACGTGAGCCAGAGCCCTCAGGGGCATGGAAGTCACGTCCTCGTCCCCGGAGGGAGGCCTCCGCGCACAGGTGTCTGGCACGAGTCTGCCTCGGCCTCCCTCGGAGATGCCGCCAGGGCGGTGGCGGCCCGGGTTTCCCTGCAGGCCGGAGGACTCTCCTTCTGAGCCGGTGCTGTGACGGGGCCAGGCGGTAGCAAGCTGGGCCCCGGGCACCTCTGGTCTCCTGTCTGTGCCCCCAGTGTAGGCGGACGGGACTGGGGGTGGCAGGGTTGCAGGCAGCTCTCTGAAGCCTACCCAAGTGTGAGCAAAGCCGTCTGTGTGTCTGTCTTTGTGTTCCTACTAATTCTGTCCTGAGTGTTAACTGGGGTGGGGCGAGGGCCGAGCTTCCCCCCAGCCCTGCCCGCTGCGGTGGCCTGTCCCCTGGTGCCCCGCGGGCTGTCTGGGGCGGGTTCCCAGTTCTCCCTGGAGCAGGTCTGCACGGTCCCATGGTTGTCCACCCTGGTGGCTCCAGGCAGGGACCAACCCTTGTGGATGGGGGTCTTAGCAATGAATGCCAGCCATACCCGGGCTCCCCCCACCAAAGCATACGCTTGCCCATACATGTTTGCCGAGCACCACGTGGAGAAATGTGGGGGGTGGCAATGGGGGAGGTGACCACTGGGCGAGCACCCTGAGGCCACGGGAGCCCCATGGCTGGGGCCAGGGCATCCTAGCTGCCCTCTGCTGTCCTTTTGTCTCTGTCCTCCAGGCCGGGTAGGGGCGTCTAGCCTCTGGTCGGGCCGGGCCCCGGCACCTCCCTGTCTGTCCCATCTGGGGTCTGGGTCTGAGTGGGCCGAGAGCAGTGGGAGGCTGGGGCGGGGCAAGGGTGGGGCCGGCCTGGGGTCTGCAGAGGCCCTTTGCACCCCACTCACCTGTCTGTCCATGTCCTGTGTCCCCTGCCAGGCGTACACAATGATGCTGTCCCTGTCGGAGGACGCACCTCTCCGCACCTCCTCCCAGAGTCCCCTGGACGCTTGGTTGAGCATCACGGGACCCGCCCCGGAGTCCGGAGCCTTTAACCCCATCAACCACCTCTGACGGGCCCGGGGGCCGGGGTCAGAGTCCACGCCAGGAGCCCCGTGTCCCGACACAACCCTCAGCTGTGGAAGGTGGAGGCCACGCCTCCAGGACCAGCGCAGCCTGGGGCAGGGAGGCCCCTCGTCACCTGCGTCTGACCACTGTCTATCCCCCCACCTTGGTCTAACTCGACTTTTCCAGTGAAAACTCAGAAACCGGAAGTCCCCGACGCGGTTGCTAGGTCACACCTCTGAGAGTCGGTCTGGAGTATGACACCACGGAGGATGCTGCTAACGCGCGGGAACAGCCTGGTGGCATTGACCCCGTGGGCAGGGGCGGGGTTCTCACCCCAAACTGTAGCAGGCCCGCTTCGGGGCACCGGGAGGGCAGGGCAGGGCAGGGCAGACGGCTGTGCTCTGAGGAGGGAGACGGCCCGAACAATTTTTCTAGTGAAAATGACAAGAATGACGCTTTTGGTAACCCTGTCGATGCCAGAGTCTATTTAAGCATGTGGTTTTAAAAATAGACAGTATTTTTTAAAAAAAGAAAAGAAAAAAGAAAAGGAAAAAGGACTCGCCAATTGTTTTTTAAAAGTCATTTTTGCATTGCTTTGGAATCTGCGCACACCCAAGCCCGCCCGGGGGCCCGCACTGTGCTGGGCACAGTCTTTATCCTTCGGACCCAGGAGGAGTTTTCTACCCCCGACCCCGTGCGTGACGCCAAGGTGGTTCCAGCTCCTGACTGGCCCACGGCGTGGGGCCGCTCCTGTGAGCCCTTTCTGACTGTACCAAGGATTCTTAGATGCGGTGTCCTGGGCTGGCCGGAGGCTGGGACTGTGCCTGACGTGAGACACGGGATGCATGCCCGCGGTCCCCAAGCGGCCCCTCCCGAGACCTCCCAATTCTATGGGAAGGTCGGAGAGGCAGGCAGGGCAGCTTCTGTTCCTCCCTGGGTCTGTCTTTGGCCGCCCCTGGGCCAGCACTGCGCTGACCGCTGCTCTTCAGGAAACAGCCGGCCACCAGCCCCATTCTGGTCTGCCGCCCCCACCTCACCCACCCCGTCAGACGCGCGAGGGAAGGTGGGGGGCACCCCCCACTGCCTGCGCAGACCGCCGAGCTCCCCGGGGCGGGAGCCCCGAGCCCCGGGGCCGGACACAGCTGCCGCTCCCGCCCTCCACGGGGGTTCTTGGCATGTGGGATCCAGCTCAGGACCAGAGGACATGCAGCTAGGACCCGGACACCTGGACGCCTGCTGCAGAGCGTGAAGACAGTACAGCCCCGTCGGGGACAGCGTCTCCCTCCCTGGGGACCAGTGTGCTACTCCACTCATGGGCTTTAAATTATTCCCGTAGGGGCCAATTTCAGATAATAATTTTTTCCCTGATGGAATTTACCTTAATCTGTATATAACTTGTAATTTTTTCTAATTCATTTCTTTTCTTATTTTATTTCTTCCTTAACAGTATTTTTGGCATTAGACACTCTTATTGTGAAGAAATAATGTTAATATAAGTACCCGGTGAAGGACCAAAACCGTGTAATAAGGTTTGTGTGTCGTGTGGCCGAGACCCAGGGACTGGGGCGGTTTTCAATGTGCCAAACGCCCCCTCGCCCCCCGCGGATTCTGCCGTCACCGCCGCCCATCTCCCAGACAATCACGTGTTTTGTTAAATCTGAGTTTCAGTTGTATCGCATTTAAGACAAGTGTTCTATTTATTTCTTTTTATCGTTTGGCAGAAAACAGAGTAATAGTGTCCCAACGAGAGGGGAAAAAATCGCCCGAGTTGCCCTTACAAACCGTGACTGCAGGTTGTGTCTCCCGGGGACTGTGTCCTCAGCTCTGGCCCTGGGGGTGGTGGGAAGTGTCCCCGCCGGGGTGTCGCCCCCTGTGCATGTCACGCTGGCTCCAGGCCTGTCACCTGCGTGGGTGGCGGGGGTCCAGCCTCACCCAGGAGACCCCCAGCGGGGAGGCTCTTGGGGCCCCCCAGCCCGGGGGTCCCAGGGGAAGGGCTCACCTCCTTTCTCCAGCCCTCACGGGGGAGCCAGACTGAGCCCGGCCCCGGGGTGTGCCGAGGTCCCTCGCACACACACCTGTGCCAGCGGTGGCCTCTGCCACTCGGGTTTGCCCACACGACCTCTCGCACCTCCGCACGAGCATCGGCACCTCAGCCGGAGCCGCCAGGTGTGGCTCCGGACGCCCAGCTTCCCCTTGATCTGGGTGGGGTCCCTTTGAAAAGGTGACCTCAGATCAAAACACCCCCTCTGTGCAAACCCAAATTACATGATTTCTCCTGCTCGAGAACGAGGCGTGTGCTTTCTTTTGCGATAGACTTCGTCCGAAATAAGCAGTTTGGGCGGGTGGCACCTGAGTGACCAGGCCTGCCCTTGCTGTCCCCCCCTGGGTCTCTGATGGTCCCGCTCTGTCATTCCAGCCGACCTCCCTCGCACGGGCTTCTCTTTCCTTCCCTCCCCCTTCCCCAGGAGCCCACCACACACTTTAACACCCTTGTGTCCGTCCCCTGAGAACAAGCCTAGGGCCAGGGCCGGAGCACTTGGCAGGTTTGGGCGCTCCTTCCTTGGGCCCCCAATAGAATGCACTTACTCCCCTGCCTCGTGCATCTGGGAGGCGTTGCCTCAAAGCGCAGCGTGACCCAGAGTGCAGCAGGCCCCCTCTCGGTTCTCCTGGGCCCCGGGCTCAGCACTGGCCTGCTCGCCCATGCCCGGGTCTTTGGCGCTGGTGCCAGCCTGTGCCAGGAGACGCCTGGGGCCTGGGAATCTGGCTGAGCCAGACAATCCCAAGATTCCAGCCTCCACACCAACACGCCAGGGTGGCTGGCTGGCCGGCTGGCCTAATGCTGTCTTCATGGGCTATAACGTGGGGGGCCCGCGGTGCCAGGTCTGTCAGGGCCAGGGCCCCTCTGTCCGGCTTTCTGCACTGGGACAGTTGACACCCCCAAGAGAAAATTGAGAAGGAGGCCTGCTCCCTCCTCCCTCCGACATCCCTCAGACCCCGGCCCCAAGCAGTGGCACCTTCGCCCCTTGCTGCTCAGATTCCCAGGACCCCGGGTCAGAACGCATGGGTTGCCCACCCTTTGGCCAGCCAGGCACCTCGTGAATGGGACCCAGGGGCCCCCCCGGTTCAAACCCAGGGTGCACATTTCCACAGCTGGCCCGGCACCCTGGAGCCCAGATCCCTGGATCCATGGATCCACGGATCTGTGAGCCCAAGAGCCTGCCCAGCCATGTGGCCTCCTTGTGCTAGGCCAAGAGCACAGCCAGTCTGTCCCGACCTGATGGCCTCCCAGCCCCCTAGCCCCAGAGCCCAGCCGCCGGAAACTCAGGGCCCTCGGGGCCCTCGGCCTCCTCCGGTTCTCGCTGCTTCCTCAGTGAGCGTTCGCAGAGCACTTGCCGAAACACATATCGCGTGTGTTGTTAGCCTCGAAGCACTGGACTGTGGTCCCCTGCCCCGCCCCCGTCCCCTCCCCACCCCCCTCTCCCGCCCAAGTGACTGAAATCTACTGAGCTGTCTTCACTGTGCTGTCCTGGGGGAGGGGGTGCAGCGCCACCCGCAGAGCGCACCCCTGCACTGCCCCCCGGGGACGGACGGGGAGCCGGGCACCCCTCGTCCCCGCCGGGGCCCGAGGACGCAGCTGCGCCCGGCCAGTGGCGGCCTGCCGGGTACCGAAAGCCATGTAACTGTCTCTGTGGCCACGCGCGACACTGTGACTAAGACATTCTTGCGTTATTCCGAGGAGTGTCCCTCATCTCCTTCCATTCCAGTTTCTGGGTTGTATTCCTTTCTGATTCGTAGTTGCGCTTCCGGGGGAAGAGAAGGTAAGAAAGAAGAGAAAAGGGCAAGGTGGCTGGAGTTTCCGAACGTGCAATTCACGAGTGAGCAACGCGATACTGAAGGCTTCCCGGGAGGGGCGGCCGCGCGGCCACGTGCGCTCCAGGGCGCGGAGCCCGGAGGCCGGGACGCGCGGCTCGCCGCCCCCTGTGCGCATGCGCTCGGGGAGCCCGCCCCTGGGCGGCCGAAGTCCTTCGCCGTTCGGTTGTTACCTTACAGATTTGGTTGAGTTTGTTTTTGTTTTCTTCTTCCAGGACTGTATAGTGTTGAAAAGGAAATGTAAATGTCTGGTTTTCATAAAATGTTTTAAAGAAAAAACCATTAAGGAGGAGGCTGGTGTTCGTCCCGTGTCCCCAGATTGTAAATTGCTTCTGTTACCAGTAAACTGTGCATGGCTGGTGTTTAGCGGTCATTATCGTGTCTGGTCGTGACGTTTTTATGGACAGGAAAATCGCGTAGATGCACTTATGGACCGTGTGAGTAGGGCCCGAGGAGTCCCGAGCCACCAGCTCAAGGGCGGCGCTGCTCTCAGCTCCCACGGACGTCCGGCTGTGGCCGGCGGCGGGGCGCGGCGGGGCCGGTGGCCGCGGGGAGGACGCTTCTGCAGCTTTCGTTCGGACGCTGGAGAGAGAGACAGAAGCACGTGTGTAGAGAACCTTCTTTAAGAGGAAGCCTAGGCCGCGCTGATCTTGAGGCCAATGCTGTAGAATAGGACTGTATACCAAATGTAATCTTTCCGAGGCTACAATGAATTTATACGTGAGATCGAGATGCAATAAATCCATGTGCTTTTCTAACCTCCGCGCCAGCGAGCTTCACTGAGGGAGAAAGGCCCCGGGCAGCCTCACCAGCCTGGACCTGGCCACCCCCGTGACAAGTTCTGGTGCAGGGACGCCATCCTCCCGACAGCACCACCAGGCCGGGGAGGGCACCGAGTCCCTGGACGGCCCTGCGGGGAGAGCAGCGGCCTCCAGGCGCCCTGGCCCTCAGACACACTCTCCTTCAGGTTCGTCTATCTCCAGGCGTGGCTCCTTGCAGGTGTATCCGCTTTCGGGCACTCTAGCCCCAGGTGTGCCTTCGCCAGGTGTAGTGGACGCCTTCTTGCTGACACAGTGTCCCTCCTGGAAGTGGTGGGAGAGTCCACCCGTAAGGCTAGTCCTACACCGGCCAGCTCCTGAGGGTGGACGTCCCCACCGGCCAGCCCTCCCGGCAGGCCCAGCCCCCTCACCCTGCCCCCAGCCAGGGCTGAGCCTGCCCCACAGGTGATGGACAGACGGACAGACTGACAGGACAAGACACGGGTGCACGCATGCCTGAGCTGCGGGTGGGGGCAGACCCAGCCTGCCTGGGGCGTACCTCCTCCTGGGTCCCCAGATGTTCCTTTGGAGACCCCCCTGCCTCTGCAGGAGCACAGCCCCCCGCCCCAACTCTGCCCTGGCCGACAGGCCTGGTTTGGGGAAATTGCCTAAGGCAGACGGGGGGTCCTGGCCAGGAGCCACCCACAGGGAGCTCCTGGCCCTGTCACCCACAATGTCTGCACTCTACTTCCTGCTGACACAGAGACAAGCAGGCGTCACCCAGGTGGCCCTTCGGCCTGCAGCCCAGGAGGCCCGCCCCATCCCGGGCCCCACCCTGCACCTCCTGCTGGCCGACCCCTGGCCTGTGCAGCGGTGCCCCTGGCTCCTCACACATGGGTCAAGTGCAGGGGCAGGCAGACCTGGAGGGGGCACACCTGGAGAGATTTGCCGGGAGCCCCCTTGGCTGGGAGTTGTGGGAGCCCCCCCCCAGTGGCTTCCCCCTGGAGTCCTGGTGGCGGCTCTCCCGCTTCTCTGAGGGCATCTTCGGGAGGACATCCCAGCCAGCGTCCAGGCGGCTTTTAGGTGGCCCGACACCTGCTCATTATCACAAGCCCTGTCGCCAACCCCGCTTGACCACTCCCACAGGTAATTTCTCACCTGCCCGACCCCCCTGAGCCCCCTGGCCTCCTCTCTCTCCAGGGAGCTCCTTACCCTCTTTTGCATGCCGTCCCCCACCCCCTAAAGCCACAGGAGACAGCTCCCAATTCCCGGGCTCAGGACAGCAGCCGACCCTCCCCAAGGCCACTTCTGTCCACCAGACTCAGAGGTGAGGTGGGTGGCGCCCCACACACCTGGGCGTCTGTCTGACAAGGCAGCCCCGCCCACACCAGGTGGCGTGGGCCCTCCCTCCCCGAGCTGTGCAAGGGGCCAAGTCTCCACACGCAGGGAAAGAGCTCGCTGCCCGTGAGGGCTGAGGGGACCTTTGTCCTTTCTGTTTTCCTTGTGAGGCAGGAAGGGAATGAGATTACAGCGTTGCTGGGAGAAACCGGGCAGCAAGCCCACTCTGCAGGTTAGCTTTGGGGTCTGGGGCCACCCCCCGAAGACACGCAGGGGCCCCGAGCCTCTGTCCTCTGGGCCAGAAACTCACCCACAGTAGATTGGGACTGTGAAGATGAATGAGAGTGTCCTGATGGGTCTCTCCATCCCCAAACCCCGGCTTGGACACACTCTGAGTAGAGAGAGTGGGCTGCACAAATGAATGGATGGATGGTGGATGGATGGATGGATGGTGGGTGGATGGATGGATGGTGGATGGATGGGTGAATGGTTTGCTTTAAGGGCCCGCACTCAACATGGATTCTGGGAGCTCTGATGCCTCCAAAGAGGCCTGAATATGCTCCGATGGCGGTAATGGGGGGTGAGGCCTGGGGTCCAGGAGGAGAGGCTGTCTGATAACAGCCTGGTCATCATGGTGACAGAGTGGGAGAGCAGACACCCACACTGCAGACAAGCAGGCTTTGCCTTACTGCAGCCCGGCTCCCACTTCGAGGGCGGAAGGGAAAGGCTCCGCTTTGGAAATGGGGACAGAAACCAACAGGGGGAAAAATGCGTCAGGGAGGAATCTGTTTTCCGGGAAAAGAGATGCTCCACCGCCCTTCAGATTCATGCTGGCCAAGTGTGCCTTCTAATTATTTGCAGAGAGAGAGCTGTTTTGAGATTTGAGAACTTTATTCCCCAGGGTAGCAAAAGTCTTCCAAAAATTGAGACGTGTCCTCATTTGGGTCACAGGGCCAAACCCAGGGTGGCTTTCGTGAGGACAGAGGGACCAGAGAGGGGGTCCAGCGGCCTGTGAGGTTTTCTCAAGGGGGCGAAGGTGCCCGGGTGTGAGGTGGCCTCCAGCCAGGAGCCTGGAGTGGAGAGCGCCCCCTGCTCTGAGGGACATCTCCAGCACCACTGGTTCCCCATCAGGAGGGGGCAGCGGAGACTCCCCTGCAGTTCCAGGGCCGCAGAGGGCCACAGAGGGAGGGGCTGTCCCTTCTGTCCTGGGACCCAGCATGTGGCCTCCAACCACCAAGAGGCCCTGAGAGCTGGTAGCAGGTGGCCTCTCAAACGCAGTGAGGAGAAGACACATGGCCACACGAAGTGGGGCAGGTAGAGGGGCCCTCAGGGGCTCCCAGATCTACCTCACCCGGGCATTTGGGGTGGGCCCCCCTTTCACTTTTAGTTGCCAAGCTGGGCCAGGCCCCACCAGGGGGCACCGACGAGCACAGCACACGACACGGCCCTTCAAGGGCAGAGAGCATAGTGCAGACTGGCCGTGTCGGGATGAGTGTGCAAGGAACATGCGTGTGCTGGACTAACACCAGATCCCTTGGGGAGATGAGGGAGGCGGGGCCAGAGAGTGGAGGCAGGCTGGGGGCCGTCTTCTCTGCTAGGGGCCACAGACGCCCCGAGTCATCTACCAGAAAGAGGGAGAGTTCTACTTCTTCCCTTCCGAATGCCTGTCCTCGTGGCCTTCTCTCTCCTCCTCCTCACACCTGGAGGGGCCCGGCTCCAGGCTCCAGGAGACCAGCTTGGGTTTGCAGCGTGAGGTACCAGGTGTGATGTCAGACGGCCTTGGTCGGATGAGGAAGGTCCTTTCTGCTCCTACACGGACCAGACTTCTGCCCCCTGGGCCTCCCCTCGCTGGAGCTTGGGGAGAGCTGGCCCGGCGAGCTCTTGGGCCCGCTAGGGTGCGGAGGTTCCCAGAGGTCTGCCCTGGGGGCAGCACCCCCCCACCCCTCCCTGTCACGGCCACACATGCCGTGCCCCTTCTGCCCCTGCCTGTCATCAGCAAACGCCACCTCACAGCAGGGACAATGGGCCCAGTGGCTAAGCCATCGCTTTGATCACCTGGCCAACCACACGCTGAGCCCCACCCCCGGCCCCACGTCACAGGGAGACACCCCAAAGCCTCCCCTCCCGTGGCAGAGCCAGACCCAGAGTGCTGGAGGGGCCTGTGCAAGTGCTGGGTTTCAGAGCGAGAAGGGGGGTAGGGACTGAGCCTGCAGTGACCAAGCCCGGTTCTGGAAGAGGGCTTCATAGGAAAGCCCGCGTAGGGACCCGCGGGGCCTCAGTCTCCCCACAGGACAAGGTGCCCGGGCCGGGTGCCCCGCTTCCCCACTGCAGCCTGGACCTTGTGGATGCAATACTGAAAATGGCCTCTGGAGGGCAGCAGCTGCCCGCCTTTCCTGGAGCTGCCTGAAGTGGCCAGGCCACCCAGGTGGCAGCAGAGCCCAAGGTACCACCCACAGGTGTCGGCCCTTGGCCTCACACCCGACAGGCACGCAGATGAGACTGACAGCTTGTGAGGCCCGTCCCTGTGGCCAGCCAGCCCGGGCTTTGCCCTACCTGACTCCCAGGCGGCTGGGCCCAGCTGCAGGCCTGACACGGGGCACTGAAGCCGGTGGGGACTGGGCAGGCCTCAGGTGCGCCAGGCAGGGCGGCCCTTCGAACCATGACACCCGGGAGTGTCGGCCAGCTGCAGGGGCCTGTGGTGGCCCCTGGCCCAGCACAGGGCAGCTGGCTCAGGAGGCGGGCCACGCCGGGGAGGCAGGCACCAGAGAAGGGAGGAGGCACTGGTGTGCCCCCACAGCCTGTCCACGGCCCAAGGGCTGCGCTCTGCACGGGGCCGGGGGCACCTGGAAGCTCCCCCAAACACACAGCCAGCATGGGACGCAAACGGACTCACCCAGGGTGGTCCATCAGGCAACGGGCCTTTCCTGACAAGGGGACCTGGAGACGGGCCAGAGAGGGAGCCCGCGACACCCGGCACCTCGGGGGCCGAGTCCTGGGGTTTCAGGCTGCATCCGAGAGCCAGCTGTCCCCGGGGCCCCAGGCTCTGAGCATTGGAATGGACACAGGTCAGCACTGCAGCAGGGGGGCTGTGTTAACAGAGGTGCTGAACCCGGGAGGAGGGAGGGGAGTGCCCCGCTCCTCCTGTCCTGGAGTGGGACGGGGCTCTGTGCTGACGGCCATGTTTTGGGGGGTTTGGGTGCGTTGTGAGGCGACTCGAGGGAACACGCCAAGATGATGAACAACCTGAATTCCATGACGAGACTGACTAGAGAGTGTGACAACAGGCGACAGGTGCTCATCCGTCCCGGAAGTATCCAGGCAGAGGCAGGGAGTCAGCTTCCTCAGTCTGGGGACACAGGGGCTCAGGGTGTCTCTCTTGGCCACTCCGCCCCCGCAGGGCTAACCCGCAGCTCCTTGCTGCCGGCCTCCTCCTCCCTCCCGCTCGCCTGCTCCCTTCGCTGGACTTCTGTGAGGGCATCGAAGAGGCAGCCATGGCAAAACTGCCGTGGTCTCTGTCCCCACGGAGCTCACTGTGGCCAGCAGACAGACACGCGGGAAGTGACAGCCCAGGGTGGCCTGAACACGAGGAAACTGAGCTCTGCGAGGCTGTCACAATGTGTGGGGGTGGGTGGGGGC